ATAGTTGTTGATTGTATATTTTTGTAAGTTCTAGGTCTTCTTATTTATCACATTCTATTGCACTTACTCCACTAATTTTGTTTTGACCCTTATTTCACTTGTTCTTGAAGTGGCCTCCATTCAAAGTAAAATGCACAAATGTTCAAATAAAAACAAAAGGGAAAAAGAAAAAGTGATGAGAAATGGGGAGAAAAATAAGAAAAAAGCTAATCAACATATGCGATGGTGGGTCAAAAAAGTGTTTTCACAAATCCACAAGGTTTTGATTCTTTGTCTCTTTCTTTCACTATTCATTTTTCCATTTTTTATTCTATTACACAACAAAAGGAATAGTTTCCATCTCTCACAAACTTCTTTATTTTTATTTTTTAAAATGTGTACAACTATTGTTTCACACTATACCATTGTTCATACTTCATAAAACATATCTGTCTATCTATATATGTTTGACTGTTTAGTAGTAATTATAAAGATTCTTCTAATGTATCAAAAGTGTGTTGATCCAAAGATTGTTGAAACTAACCAAAGTGATAATAGTCGAAACCCATCATGAATAATCTAGATTTAAGACCTTTAAAACCAAAGAAAAAATAAACGGAATCTCTCAAAAAACCTTTGAGCAAACCATAACAAGAAACGTCTCAAACCAAATTGTAGGTTGAAGAAGGAACACATGTAGGTCCCACTTTAATGACTGGACCCTACAGTAATTAGGCCCTACATCATTGTCTCTCCTCTGTTTTATTACTTCTTCCGTTTGATAATATCGTTTTAGAATTCATTTTTTGTTTTAAAAAGAGTGTTATTTTGCATTTTCAATGTAACTTTTTACTTTTATTTTCTGTTTTGTTCCTCATTTCAAGATAATAGTTTTTGTAATTAAATGTTATAAAATTATATTAATTAAACGTATATTTGTATATTTTTAAATTTCTTAATTTATGTAAAATGTGTTAGAATGATATTTAATATGAAACGGAAGGAATATTTATTATTTTTTTTTTTATTTTGATTAGCTTTCTCCCTTACCATCAGTCGTATAGCTTAGATAGCGCCCACACATAAAAGCAAAAGCCATTAAGAGAGCTATACACACACCACTCCCAAAATCCGACTCTCAATTTTCGAGCCTCTCTCGAGGGTTTTCTTTTTGTTCGTCTTCCTTTTTTTTTTTAGTTTTCTCTCGTCTCTGCTTCTAATTGATTTCTACAGTATTTTTCCAGAGAAAATCTCATCACCTGCCTCATTTTCCGGTGTAAAACAATCCCTCCGGCGTCGGCTGCATTGTGACCGGAAAACTCCTCGATCTCTGTATTCTCGGCGACATTCGTCTCTTGTTTCTGGTTCGTGACGATTCCTTCTGTTTGAAATCTCTTTCGTTTGTCGTTTTCTATTTGGGCATTTTCGTGTTTTTTTTTTCTTATCGATTTTGCAAATGCAAAGTTCTTATTCCACATGATGTTTTCGAGAAGCTTTCTGGAAATTCCAGATCGAACAGTGGAATACTCTAGGGACAGACACACACACACTCGTGTTGTATTGTTTGTCTTGAAACCATAAATGAAAATTAGTCCAGAGATTTATTCCCAAATCACGTGTTACGGTTTCTATTCTGTTTGTAGTGAGCTTAATTATATATTCGCCGACACGGTTTCAGAATATGGTCCCCGAAATTGTTGGTGGGTTACGAAGAGATTTGTTTGTATCTCTATTGCTTATATCGATTGAGGTTCAGAGACTGATTTAGCTGAAATTATTTTGCTTTTTTAAAGGGATATAGAGATTTGGATTTGGTGTAAAGATCGCATGAATGCTGGATATGGAAAGAGTTGCTGAGCTCAAGAGGCTTCCTAGTAAAGGTCCTGTCTCTGGTCACTTGTCAAGAAGACAATACTTAGACTTGGAAACTAGAGATACGTTTAATGGCAACGCCAATGGTATGCATCTGGAGTCTTTGAGGGAACGTGCTGCTCGATACAACACGGGAAGACCAGTGAATCCATCTACGACTTTGGGGAGAGAATTAAGCCAGGTTCTGAATGTGCATAGAGAAGAGATGATGATGGGTCATTTTGGTGGTAACTTGAATGATTTTCAAGAGTTTGAGCCTGTGGTAACGTCCGTTCGAACGATGAAGGCAAAGTACCCTTTGCTGGAGATTGAAGAAATCGTGTCTGCTGATGATGATGTGACTTGTAAGGGAAGCAATGATATGTCTGAGGAAGCTGGTTCTAGCTCCTTCCGTGGGGTTAGTCATCCTCCTGAACCTGACGACATGGATCTTATAACAACTGTATATGTTCCCATTAGCGAGAAGAACAAACCTGATTCGGTTTGCTTGATGAAGAGCATGTCTATTACTAAAGGACCATTTCTAGAGGATCTCTCGCTCTGCGTGCCTCCGAAGAAGCCAAGCTCAGGAAGACTCTCACCCGCAGAGAGCCTAGTCGAGGAGCCTGGTACCTCGCTGTCACCGTTTTCTGTGGCTCGTGCATCGCAGAACACAGATAACTCTCTGCTACAGCCAGATTCAGACAAGGAATGTGTTTGGGATGCTTCTCTGCCTCCTAGCACCAATGTGAGCCCACATAGCAGTAGTGTCGAAAGTATGAATTTCGCCCGGGCTATGAGTATTGCTAATAGCTCTTCTGCGACAAGTACTACGCAGAGGAGCGATGTTGTGCTTAGTATGGACAAGAACTACTGTGACAGGAGTATCAGTATGGTTTTGGATTCTTTCGAAAGCGCCAAGACGAGTGCAAGCAGAGCAAGCGATAGTAGCGGCCTAAGCGAAGAGAGCAGCTGGAGCAATTTCACGGGAAGCCTTAATAAGCCACACAAAGGGAATGATCCTAGGTGGAATGCTATTTTGGCTATCCGGACACGAGATGGGATTTTAGGGATGAGCCACTTCAAGTTGCTGAAACGGTTAGGTTGTGGTGATATCGGGAGTGTCTACCTAGCTGAGTTAAGCGGAACTCGGTGTCATTTTGCAGTGAAAGTGATGGATAAAGCTTCTCTTGAAAACCGGAAGAAGTTGAATCGAGCTCAGACCGAGAGGGATATTCTACAGCTATTGGATCATCCGTTTCTGCCAACATTGTACACTCATTTTGAGACAGACAGATTCTCATGTTTGGTCATGGAATACTGTCCTGGAGGTGATCTGCACACTCTCAGGCAACGCCAGCCCGGGAAGCATTTCTCGGAGTATGCTGCTCGGTATGTTTTCTCTCTCGGTTTACTCAATTTTCCCCAAAGCTAAGTTTCATTCACCGTGATCTCACTATCTTTATATGTTTCGCATTATTGTTTTTTCTTTGAACAGATTTTACGCTGCAGAGGTGTTGCTAGCGCTAGAGTATCTCCATATGCTCGGCGTTGTTTACAGAGACTTGAAACCTGAGAATGTTCTGGTTCGAGATGATGGTCACATAATGCTTTCTGACTTTGATCTCTCCCTGAGATGCGCGGTTTCGCCGACACTGATCAAAACATTCGACTCTGATCCATCTAGACGCGGCGCGTTCTGCGTTCAACCCGCTTGTATGGAGCCTACATCAGCTTGCATCATCCAACCGTCATGCTTCTTACCGCGCAGCATCTTCCCTAACAAAAACAAAAAGAACAAGACTCGTAAAACTCAGACGGATTTCTTCAAATCACACTCAGGTTCTCTCCCGGAGCTAGTAGCTGAACCTAACACAAGGTCCATGTCCTTTGTTGGAACACACGAGTACTTAGCTCCAGAGATCATCAAAGGAGAAGGCCACGGAAGCGCGGTGGATTGGTGGACTTTTGGTATCTTCGTCCACGAGCTGCTATATGGTAAAACCCCGTTTAAAGGATCAGGAAACCGAGCCACTCTCTTCAATGTAGTCGGAGAACAGTTGAAATTCCCTGAGTCACCAGCAACTAGCTACGCAGGGCGGGACTTGATTCAGGCTTTACTGGTGAAAGATCCAAAGAACAGATTAGGGACAAAGAGAGGAGCAACGGAGATAAAGCAGCATCCATTCTTTGAAGGAGTGAATTGGGCACTGATACGGTGTAGCACGCCTCCTGAAGTACCGAGACAAATGGAGACCGAACCGCCTCCAAAGTATGGACCGATTGATCCGGTTGGGTTTGGTAGTAACAGCAAGAGAATGATGGGACCACCACCGGTATCAACAGCAGCAGCGGACACGAAATCTGGTGGTAAATTTCTAGACTTTGAGTTTTTCTAAAGCTTGCTTTTCCTCCCAATAGTTTGTGTTTGGTCCCTTAATTAGCATTTTTAGTAGTGTCGTTATATATTGTAACCACGTCTCAAGGCTTTAAAAGGATTGGAAGATGGGTTTTATTTCTCATAGTAACTTAGGTCCTTTTTTTTATCGGAGATTTAATCTTCTTCCATGGAACCAAAACTTTTGTAAGGGACATGGAAAGCTCCAAGTCGAAATTATTTAAGAAAATCTCCTTTTTTCTACAGAGAATAGTGTTTGTCGGAATCCCTTTTCTACCCAAACCGATCGTAATGTCACTGCGATATTTTGGTGGTCCCGAAAGCAAAAAGTATTATGATCTTAAACGAATCAATGATCCAGTATGTTATATATAGTTTTTATATTTTGGAATCCCAAGACTGAACTGAGTTTGGCATTTTGCCTGCAAAATGTTTTATCATTTGTGTGTGTGTTTTGTTTAAAAAAGCCGGCATGATCTTCGCTTGATCTCAACATCACATCTATAAAATATAAGATTACAAAATGTGAATCAGCTATGATCAAAAGATAAGCCTACGCTTGTGGTTTGATTTAAACTTAAGTCTATCAAGAAGAACCCCATGTGGATTCAGACAAAGAAGATATTTTCTCACTTGTCTCAGGGAATCCAATGAAAATGGACCCTCTAAAAAATTTACAACACCGACCAGTTTCATGTCCAATAGAGACAGTTCGAGGCAAGCCTTAGATAGTAATCACCACCTGCTATTACTTATCACAAGATGATTAACGAACAAGCAAGAGACCGTTCTTTATTCATGTGCGTGGAAGCTGAGAATTACATTAACAAAAATCTCCACATTTCATCATACTCACAAATCAAAAGCCAAGTGCTAGATTTTCTTTTAAAGACTCGACATATATATACACTTTCTTTTCAGAAATAAACAAGATCCACGACCGAAATAAGGATACATAACGATAGGAAATTTCCAGCTCTGAAGCCTTTTACCCATCAAAATCTTTAACTATATAGTATTTGTACCTTTTTCAGCTATATAGTAACGTGTATAATATAGTGTGCTATTTGATGGAGTATGAGCGAGTACATACGGTTTGTAAGGACTCCGTGAACAGAGCAGAGAAACTGGTTAAAGCTTGGAACACACCTGGCAAGCCCGTCTGCAAGTTATTCAAAGTCATGGCTCTTGTTACTTCTATCGCCTTTGAATGCTTCAGCATTTCTTCCTCCACTCTTCTCTGGCATGCTCCTAGCTCTAACTTCTTCTCCGTGAGCGGGTCCCGAGCGTCTAGCACGTGTCCGTTGTCTGGTCCTGAATCCGGAAGACCAAACCCGACCGTGGAGTATGACTGATAGTATTTCCTTTCGATGTTTCTAAGCGATGAAGCTTTCTTCTCAAGCTCCTTTGATGCTGATTCGGTTCTTTTCTTTATCTTTAACTCCTCGGATTGTTTCGCTGATATCACGTGAACAACATTGATGAAGCTCTTGATTGCTTCTGAAGCCACTGTGTCCGGGACTCGGTCTAGAGTAAGTTTCCACTCATCACAAAAAGCGTAGGCATCTACTGGCTCTTTGTGATCGGGATTGTCGTCGTGGCAAACTGGGAGAAGAGTTAGCTTGAACCAGGCCTGAACCGAACGAATGAAGTCCCTTTGGAATTTAATCAGCCGACAAAAACTTGAGTGCCATAAAGACACAGCTGTTTCCAAGTCACGGGTTGCTTGACGGTGTAGTTCAGATGTTGATTCCCCTTTGCCTGACCTGTTAATGAGCCCCTGAACTTGCTGTACGATGTTGTTCTGAATCTCGTGGAACTGATGCATTGATTTCCACATGTACATGAAGCTACACAAGAAAATATCAGAGATTAGCGTATAGTACCTACACTGCATAGCTGATGGATCCAAAGCAATTATATTACAGCATAGTTTTAAACGCTTCGCATGAATTTGTCAAAAAACACTTTTTTGATCTATTGATTTTTTTTTGGCATCACTACAACTACAACACTTGAACTTGAGTGACCTTTAAAATGCAGGTTCTAAATCGCCATGTCGCTCACAATGGGGGCTATATTACCAGAATTAACACGGCAAATACCAAAAGATCTTGATTTCCCCTGAACTAGATATTAACCAATAAGGCTAATCATAACACTCAGCTTGTAAACTAGGCAAAGACATGATCACCAATTCAGTAACTTACTTGTTACTTAGTCAAGATGAGCTATAAAAACCCAAAAATCTAACAATGTATAAGACAGATAGGGATCTTTGTCTCGCTCTAAGGAGCAGCTACTCATATCATGAAATCCACAATTCTAAAATATAGCTTCAGAAGGCATTAGATAACTTTTTATCAAAAAATAAACAGGCATTACATAACTAACTGCTGCAACTAGCAAATTTTCCATTCAATGTTGACCTACTTGATGAGTCCACAAGAATCTTTTATAGATGTGAAAGTAGGTGGAAGTGTATATACGGACTTCTACGAGTTAATTATGATAGAGACATGTCAATTGAACTGACAGCGCATTCAATATCTGCTAATCATTGATACAGAATCAGCTAAATCAAACAAAGCAAACTTACCCATGACAGAGTTCAACGAGCTGCGGGACAAGATCAGTATCTCGAAGGCGGATAATTGCAGTAGATGTTGTGCTGACGGCCTGAGAGGTAACAATTATAAGAGACTGTAACCTTGTTATAGAGCCCTTTGTCTTGTCCAGCTTAGACTCAGTCTCCCCCTTGTACTCTTGACTTTGAAGTTTTGACAGCTTCTTTTCATGCTCAATCTTCAACCCTTCTCTAGCCTGCAAGTTCATCCAATTATTAGTGATAAACCAAAACCAATGAGCAAAGACAAAAAAAAAAACGAATTGGATAAACAGCACAGCAGAGACCTTGACTTCCTCATAGAGTTTCTTTTCCCATGCCAAGAGGCGGTCTAGACTGGAACTTAGGCTCTTGGGGCCGCCCGGTTGATCCAGTGCGGTTGTGTCCAGCCTGTACTTCACTTCCAATGGCGGCTTTGAGGTCCAAGTTGAGCTCAGGTTGCTCAATACGCTACTTGAATGAATCACGGTTTCTGAAAAAAGCAAGTTTCACACCAAATTCAACTTGAGACTTATGGCGGATTCTACACGCATATATAATATTAGCTAAAGCTAATTCAAAGTTATCAAGCTCACTCTTCAAGTGGCTGAAACTGCGATCAAGCTGAGCCCTGCCAAGATGGAGCATCTGAGAGACTTGATCGCCGGCGGAGGCCGCCTTGTCGAAATTCTCCTTGATCGCATCAACAATCTCCTTCAAATCTCTGTGCCTCACCACCATCTTCATGTCAGCCATTTCTCCTCCGCCTCTATAGCTGCCGGAAGACGTCGTCGCGTCATCTGCTTTGCCGTACTTCTCTTGAGCAGTGCCGCCATACTCCTGCGGCATCGGTGGGGGCTGGTGGTGGTGGTGGTCCCGTCTCATCGAACTAGTCCTCACGGAAGATCCAAAGTCGGAACGCGTCCCGATCTCGGACACTGACTCTCTATCCTCTTCCTCCTCCTCTTCCTCCTCCTGCGCGGCGTCGGATGAGCTCGTCGTGCTGTAATGATCGTGGTCCTCCCATTCGCTACACTGAACTTCCTCTCTCTCTGTCTCATCCTCTTCCTCCACCGCACTATTCCTGGACTCGAACTGCTTCTGCTTCCTCGAATGGAAAAAATCATGCTCCGATCTCTCTGTTTCGGTGTCGTCGCCGTCGGCCAGATCGCCAAAGCGGTTTTGTTGCCTCTCTTGAGATTTCCTGTTGAAGAATTCGGAGTCAGGAGGGGAAGGAGGGTAGAAGTTCTCCCAGTTCCAGACGGAAGAAGCTTGAGAAGGAGTGGCGGAGTAAGTGGAGTTCTGGTAAGCACTAGGGTAGAAATTCGGCATGAAATTGGATCTCTCGCTTTTCGGAGAAGACGAAGGGCTTGAGAGAATATGAGGCATCTTAGGTTGCTCTTTCCGGCGCCGATTAGAAGGTGCGGAGAGGATGGGAGGCAGCTTGGAGCTGGCAACAGAAGGAGATCGTGAGGGAGGAGCCGGCGGCGGAGTATAGACGGAAGAAGGAGCAGGTGAAGGCGGGACACGTGGAGGTACAAAATTGGAAGACGAGTGTTGAGGCGGCGGAGGAGTGTGGAGAAAAACGGCCGGGGTCTGATCCGATACAGCGAGAGGCTCACCGGCGGCGAAAGAGGAGAGAGCAGATCCAGTGAGACGAAGCGATCGGCAGTAATCAGCGTGAGCTGCAGCAAGTTGATGTCGTGCGCGAACAGATTCCGTCATGAGACGGCGGCGATCCTTGCACCGTCGAACAGTGTCCACGTTATCGAGCTTCGACGCTGCACATCCCATGGTGTCGTAGTCGGATTCTTCTTCTTCTAGTCTGAGACTGCTTAAACGGCGGTTAGCTAACGGTGGCGCGTGAACTCACCTCCGTTCTGCATTTTTCAGTTGGGAATCACACAAAAGGAAAGTTGGGAGAAAGTTCTTAGCTGTTTCCACTTGATCGTATTTTGGACTGTACGTGCTTAATTTGTTATCCCTTTATTAATTTTAAAAAGAAATAAAAAAAAACTTTATATCAATCTTTATTTCTATTTTATATCCCCACTGAGTACACTACTGCTGATAACAAGTCAGTGACTGTCATTAACCTGGACTAATTTTTTACGACAAAAAAAAACCTCGACTAATTTTGTTTTTTACACTTTGTTGTTTTCTGTAAATAATTAATCTGATTTCCCACAGAATTATTGTTAAATGAACATTAAAATTTGATAAGTAGATTTAGCATTTTCATAATATAATTAAGAAACAAAAAGGATCGAAAAGGTATAAAAGAGTTTAAATTTGAAAAATGATTAAAAAAGCTCTAATAAATGCATACTTTATTTTATATAAATCAAAATTGCTTTTGCTTTTGATTATTATTTAAAAATTAAGATGGTGCGTCGGTTGATGTCGATTTAACTAATGGCGAAGAAAACAAATTAAAGGATGCTCTGTGTCGTTTTAGTGTGGTTGGGTATATAGTGGTTTAAATTTGGAAAGACTAAAAGCTGGAGTATTAGTCAGATAAGGAGTATTATTAAAACGTAATTAGGAATCTGTAGACCTAAAACGGCAAGATGTTTTCTATCGGGCGTTGAAAACGGTGTAACATGTCGTCAGAAAGACTGAAAAGAGTCTTTTTATCAAAATAAAAGAGAAAGGAGAATATTTTTTGGAAGAAAGCTGAAACAGAACAAAGACCACATGCATTTTCCAACTTTGTTCGAAGATACTCACCAGCTCCGGTATTTAATTTTCAATTTCAAGTATTTATTTGATTTTTATAAATGATACTTAAATCTATAAAGATATATTTACATTTATAAGATAATAAATATATGGATTTAAATGAAAAGTAAAAACAAAAATAAGTTTATTGATAAGATATACAATTATATAAACTAAAGTAAACAATGACAATATTAATAGTCTAAATAATAAAGCCTTGAGGTTTTACTATTCAAAACCTTAAACTTTAAGGGTTTAAGAATTGGGTTGGAGCACAAAAAACTTTAAATTTGGGGAACATGCTTTGAGCTATTGTGATTAATCTTTTTCGTTTTGGGTATTATTGCCTCTTTTTTTTTTGGTTGAGAAGTTATTTAAGTTGTTAACATAATAGATTTGGTAATATACATTTTGTCAGAAAGCTTTTTTGTTGACATATGGTAATAAGTATAGGTGAGCACACGTAATCCCCTTAATTAATTGTACCATAATGGGTTTTAAAAGTATACTATATATAAGGGGGTAAAGAATTGTCATGGTTAATTATCGGGGGTGAAAAGAAAAGAAAAAAAAAAGCGAAGCTAAAGACAAAAGGTGCTTTGTTGCAAAGGTAAATTATTTGTGAAATCTCTCTATGCTTCTTCCTCCTAAGTCCTAACATAAACATCCTCCTCGTCTAAAAATATCAGGTTCTCTCAAGCGATGATTAAAGCAGCAGGAGGATGTTGTGATCGTCTCCACATACTTGGTGTCGGTGACCATCTTTGTGTTTATAATTTCTTCCTTTCTTTGGCGCCGTCTCAACAAACAGATTCAAGATTGGGAACTTAACAAATTCAAAGTCGATGATCACAAAGCTTTCCTATGTTTGTTCTTCTACGTCTTTGGCGCAACAACACATACACATAACGGCACTTGCGCTCAGCACGAAACTGAACTGTTCGACGTTTGTGTTTAGGGTTCTGACCAAAAGTTGCTGGGACATCGTGTCTTATGCGGTGCTCTTCAAGATTATACGTGGTATCTTACGATCCAAACCTTTGGAATCGACCTGCATGAATTCAATCAATTCTCAGTTAAACGATTCTTAGTTAGCTAGGGTTCATGCTTGGATTCATTCATTTCTAATAAAACGTGGTTTTTATTGATATACTCCAGTTTTGCCTCTATAGTAGATCTCCCTTGCTTCACATTATATTCCCATTTGTTTTTACCACAAATACCAACAAAAAAAAAAAGAAAGAACGACACAATTCATGTATATTTGCTGTAAAAATTATACAAGAATGTCGAAACGAGAGAAGTGGCTTATTTAAAAGATCTTGAGCATCAGTATAGCCAAATTAATGTCGAAAAAAAAGCCAAATTAACTTAATGTACCGATAACAGCAAATGATCTACTAGAGTAATCATATTAACAAGCAACATGTTCCATTCTGTAGCTTTCTTTGATTGGATATTAGAAAATTGAACGAAGAAAAAAAAAAATGAATGAAAGATTGATTCGCAAAGCGCCATAGCTTCCTCTATTTCATTCAAGTCACTGGGGCTTTGTTCTCCAACGGGGTGTGAAGGAGGCATTGCCGGAGAATATGAACTCTCTATCTGTGCATTTACAGAACAGAACATTATAGGAAAGGCATATCAATTTTATCTGCAAATTACAGGCTTCTTAGGTTACTACAAAACTAATAGGATTTGTATGTTGCAGCTAATAAAGCATCATAAGGTAGTGTGAGGTCGGTATATGCACTTGCTAAAGAAAATAGAACCAACATCTCTCCGGACATATCTTGCCATTGCCTGAAACACGCAAGCAGTGTCTCAAAACAGTTTGGTACACAAGGCCTAAATTGGTATGTGTGTGTATTTGTGAGAGAGATAGAGGGTCTGTTCTTTTCTTTCCCGCTGCGTTAGCGTCTGCGTTAGAGTAAAATGGCAGCAAAACGGTTACGACGAAGAGTAAAAGGGCAGCAACACGGTTACGAAGAAGATAAAATTGCCGCCGAAGATGATCGCAGGTGTTGATGAAGATGATCGCAACAACTCTCATACGACGCTGGAATTTGAGGCGTCATTTTTAGGTGATGCGGTCACTGTTGCGACACCACCTGCGACATCTCCTTTTTCTAGCAGCAGCTCCGCCATCGTCGTTTTACTTTGTTACGTATTACGGTCATCACCGTTTTAATTTGACGCTGACGCAGATGCTGCGGGAAAGGAAAGAACAGACCCAGAGAGGGGAAAATCATGCCCTTGCTGCTTTTAAACCTGTCATCAGGCTAATATACCTTTTGTCAGAAAGATATTTTTGTTGATATATGGTAATAAGTATAGGTGAGCACACGTAATCCCCTTAATTAATTGTACCATAATGGGTTTTGAAAGTATATATAAGGGGGTAAAGAATTGTCATGGTTATCGGGAGTGAAAAGAAAAAAAAGCGAAGAAAAGACAGAAGGTGCTTTGTTGCAAAGGTAAATTATTTGTGATATTATTTGTGAAAGCTCTCTATGCTTCTTCCTCCTAACATGAATATCCTCCTTGTCTAAAAATATCAGGTTCTCTCTCAAGCGATGATTGAGTCTTTGGTTAAACTCTTAAAGCAGCAGGAGGATGCTCTTGATCTTATGATCGCCTCCCCATTCTTCGTGACCTTCATTGTGTTTATAGTTTCGTCCTTCCCTTACAGGAAACGTATTCGAGATTGGCAACTTAGTGAATTCAATGCCGCTGCGTCAGATCACAAAACCCTCCTCTTTTTGTTCTTCTTCCTGTGTGGCGCAACAACACATAACGATACTTGTGCTCTGTCCCAAACCGAACCGGTCCTTGTTGTGTTGATGTTTTTAACAAAAAGTTGCTTGTGCATCGTCTCTTATATGCTGCTGTTCAAGATTTGTGTTATTTTACATTCCAAACCCCGATCTTGTAGCTAGGGCCCATGCTTTCATGCTTGATCTTCTATTTAATTAGTAAGTATTTGTACTTTCTTTCTTTTTTTTTTTCTTTCTCCATCCATTCTTCTTTAATTATATTCAGTTTGATTATCCTTTTTACCATTGATAAAGTCGTCCCTTAGATTATGTTTTCTTAGCAAATTAAATACTACGATCTTATTATATATAGAAGACACATACAGGAGAACAAAAACTATAATCTGTCGTCGTTTTGATGGCAAAACAAAACAAAATCCGTAGCATTGAAAAGTACATATATTATAAATTAAAAAAAACTAAGACGACTTAAATTTTATTCATATTCATTCGCATTGAATCATGAAACATTTATAGTTATACCGGTTTGCATTAGCTTTTTCTGAGGGATAGGTTTGGGGGGGGGGATATGTTTTAGTTTGATTTATGCAATGAATTTCGAATTTCCATAAACTAAAAAGGAAGATGGATAAGACATTGATGGATATGAAGGAGGTGGAGAGTGACCATAACTGTTTTATTTTTTCTTCGAAAAGGGCACTTTTTTGTATTATCTTTTTGTTCTAATGTTTGGATTAATATTCCAATATGTTGTATAGCTAGACTTTGAGGGCCATATATATATATATTTGTATATTATGCTCTTAATGCTTCCGAGTTGCGACGCTTGTTCTCTAGTTAGGTGAACGGTTAATCTATTTTGGAAGTTAAAAGACTAAATGTATATCATATATGACCGCTGAAAATATGGAAAAATGTTATACAATATGCATTCTTTATTTATCATTAATTAATGGCTCGTTTTAGTGATTTCTTTTTTTGTTAAAAAAAATCAATGTTTTAATGATTTCTCTGAACTGGTTTACGTGATCTATTGTAATAATTTTAATCAAATGTTGAAAGGAATCAATTGTAACCATAGTTGACTGAAAAATCATACATTTATTAGATTATTTTCGTCTTTAATTATGGTGTGTCCCTTTCCTGTCCCGACCAGCCATGAGTAGTGGACTGCTGTCTTTTCTAATATACAATTGTCTATGACTCCCCCAACTCTTTGCGTTGAATGTTGGTCCTCTTCTATATTAACCGATTTTAGCGGGCTTCTCATAAGGGTATCATTTTTGGGCCTATGACCCATTTTTAAGCACATTTTAAATAGTAGAACACTAGAACTAGAACCTCACGTCATCTTCCCAACGTCCTTTAACTGTTTACAAATGACGATAACTAAAGAAGGAATACTTTAATAGAATGTTACAATGGAGTGCGTAAAACAAAAGTCACAATTAACAAAACGTGTCTTTGACGTACGACTTTCCTTCCCACGTCAGACTTAATAATATTTTATAACATTCGTTCGCACGTGAAAATTATGTTGCTCGGATTAGTCATCTTTTTTTTAATGGGAAATTATTAAATGTTTGATTCCGGGGAGCTTATGCTTTATTCCTTAATGAAAAAGAAATCTTATGTTTTCTTTTACCTATATTCATTCCATTCCATTTTATCAAAAAAAAAAAATATTCATTCCATTCCATACCTGGGAAGACTCGTCGTTGTTTTAACGAATCTAGTTATTTCTACCATTTTATTGACTTCCACAGTTCTAATAGATATATTAGCTTTTTTTTCAAATCAAGTTTGACTATTCAAAAAGTTCTCTTGACATCGATAAACCAATAGTTAAAGATGATCGAGTGAAAAAAAAAAAACTATTCTCTCCATTTAAAAAAAAATATTCTCTCCATTTTAAAGAAAACATAATAATTCAGAATTTAATCTAATTAAATCGGAAAAGAGACAAGTACGTTGAATACAAATATAAAGCTTCTAGGCTAAAGCATAGAACCGATTGGCTCAATAACAACAAAATTTGTATCAAGTAAAAATCAAGTTGAATAATAAGTTTACATATTGCCCCCGGTCATCAATTACCACCCACTCCCACTGTTGGATTAGATAAAAACACGTTTAATCGTAAACTTTGTTTTTCCTATGCTCTGTTTATCATTCATACCAAGCCATACTAAACTTCATCTTTATATAGCTTACACCATATTGCTCTTCAGTTAAATATTAATGCTCCATTATATATATATATTTTTGAAAATATATACAAAAAAGAAATCTCTCCAGTCTTTTTGTTGTTAAACCCATATATCCAAATCAATTATCTACAATATCGACGTATTATCAATTTCTAATTTTATTATAATTTCGGACACTTAATATCCATGAACAATTTAACAAAAAGAATAAAAATCCATGAAGAAGATAGTTTTCAAAATGATTATATAGAAACAAGAAAAGAAAGGACAAAAGTACTGGGAAAAAAAAAAAGACCAAAAGTCCAAATAACTAGTAGTTTTTGTCGCGTTTCGTTTTAAATAACGAGGGAAAAAGAAACGAAGCTTCAGAGAGGATAACACTATCCTTAAGGTACGACGTCGTTTCAAACAGAGAAGAACCTTCCAAGGACCTTCTCATTCCATCATAGTCCATACCTTTATAATCTCCTCCGCAGTGTCTACTCTTTTAAACCGAAGCTTCACACTCTCTAAATCCACTCTCGAAACACTCTCTCCCATTCAGAAGCATTCCAAAATCCATTAATTATATAAATATCAATGTCGGGTTTTGATTACAGCGACTCAACAAGCTCAGCTGATTCCGTCAATAACGGCGTTAACTTACCGGTTTTTTACCGGAACCCGAGTTTCAGCAACGTCATCCTAAACGATAACTGGAGCGATTTGCCGTTAAGCGTGGACGACTCACAAGACATGGCCATTTACAACACTCTCCGCGACGCCGTTAACTCCGGCTGGACACCCACCGTTCCTCCACTTTCCTCTCCGGTGACCGCGGCGGAAGAGAAGCCGGAGACGGCGATGGTAGCGGAGGCGAGTGGATCGCACGCGCCGAGGCAAAAGGGGATGATGCAGTACAGAGGAGTGAGGAGGAGGCCGTGGGGGAAATTCGCGGCGGAGATTAGGGATCCGAAGAAGAACGGAGCTAGGGTTTGGCTCGGGACTTACGAGACGCCGGAGGACGCGGCGGTGGCTTACGACAGAGCTGCGTTTCAGCTAAGGGGATCCAAGGCTAAGCTTAATTTCCCACATTTGATTGGCTCTTGTAAGTATGAGCCGGTTAGGATCAGGCCTCGCCGTCGCTCGCCGGAGCCGTCTGTCTCCGATTACTCATCGCCGGAGCAGAAGAGGATTGGCCACGTGGGAGACGGGTTCGATTTGGATTTCACGATGAACTCCGAATCCGATGGAGGTTTATTGACGGATCAATCGGCATGTTCGTTTTCTGATAGTCGTGAATGATGAATTAAGCGATGTTTTGATCATAATGTAATGTCTTTGGAAAATCAATGTGGGCGTTTTTTTTTTTTTGGTTATTCTGAATTCGATTTATATACTCTAACAAGTTGAATGAAAACTTCTCTATTTGTAACGAACGGCTAGTATTTTTCCATTTTTGGTAACTTTTCGGCATTTGTTGTACCTATGAACATTTTAGGAAGTTGGATTAGGATCCTATTTTTGAAGACATTTCTTTCGTGGAGATTGTCATATATTTATATATCCGGCATGCCATTCCGTCAAATTGTTAAATCATGTTTGTCGGTTGATCGAAAATTATAAAATTAGATGGTACTTATAATATAAATTCATTTTTAGCTGTTTTTCTAATTTATGTATTTGCAATTACAATGTCGAACGAATATAATAACAATTACTAATAAATTAACATAATTTATAGCATGTGCGTTTCTCGGCATACTATTTTTAATGATTAGAATGATCCAAGAATGATCCAAATTTAAGCTTCTGTTAGCAATCTATTATATAATGGGAGAGTTTTCTCTCCATTTAGGGTGTCCACATCAGCATAAGAAGAAAATTACAATTAATGACTCAATTAATTCATACACTTTAAAATATTTTTATTTTCATTTCAAAATAAAACAAAAACACTAATACTAAAGTTAATGCCTTCATTAATTCATGCATTGTTTATAATTATTAATTTTTATCAAAAAGAAGCAGAGAAAAAGATGGAAAAAATAATAAGAATAAATAGTTAAAGAAAAAGATGAAGATGAAAATGAACTCAAAACGATGAAAAAGAATAAGAAAAAAAAAAGAAGAAAAAATCAAAATATAAAAAAAAAAAAAACATGTAGATGAAGATGAAATAGAAGATGAAAAATACATACCCGAGATAAGTAAAAATAAGAAAAAACAAAATTAGAAAAAAAGATGAAGAAAAAAAAAAAGAAGTTGAAGAAGATGAAAATGAAGAAAAAAAGGATAAAGAAAAAGAAGAAGAAGAACTCAACTGATGAAAAAGAATTTAAGAAAATACGAAGATAAAAATGTTAAAGATGAGAAAAAAAGACCGAAAATGAAAATAATATACTATTTTAATATGATGATGGAGAAAAAGTCTAATAAAATTAAGAAAATAAGAAAAAGAATATGATGAATTAGCTATTTAAAAACAAAATATGATGAAAGTCTATACCCACAAAATTTAATATTAATATATATTTAAAATATGCATTTAATACATGTACATTTATATTCATATTTAGTACAAATAAATAAAATAAAAGAAATTTTAGTATAAAGATGCAGAAAAAAACAATAAATTAAAATAACAAATTATGAGAATATGAAAATATGAAGATGGAGAGAGAAAAAATTGTTGTTATATAGAAACACTATTAAAAATAACTAATAGAATATAGGTATTGTTAACACAATGCAAATCATAAAAATTATTTATTAAACAAAAAAAAAAGAAATTTATCAAACAAACTCTTTTTAAGAAATAGCATATAAAAACATGAACATACGTTCAAATCCGCGCGAAGCGCGGACTCAACCCTAGTATAATAAATATTGTAGATCTTATGCAACATCAGCAATGCAACATCAGCAGCCAATGTCCTTAGATTTTATTTTATTTTTCCTTTATGACAAGTCAATGTCCTCCTTAGATTTACAAACTGAGTAAAAAATTGGTAATGCTCCTTATTAGATTGAGAAAAATGATTTAATTTCCTAAAACATTGGATATACTGTATTAGGTAGAAAAGTTTTGATAAACTCTAATATTTATAAAAAAATACTTCTTCTGTTTCATAATACTCCACTAAATTTGGTAATACTATAAATCTGTATTGGGAACAGTAATCAGTAGCGACTGGTGAAAATTTGATTTGATCCTGCGCTGCTCGAACGTTGGGCTCTAGTTTACGAGCAAGTGAGTTCTTTTTTCTTTTCCCGCACGTTGATCACGTTTCTCTTTGTAGTCTCTGTTATTTCTTCAAATTACTTGACTTGCCCACCAGCTGTTCGTCAAAATTCCCACACGAGTGTTTTCAAAGTCACCTCTTTTTTATCGATTAACTCACAGAAAACGTTTCTGCTTTCTTTTTTCTCAATATCGAAGTCAAAATCATGGACCGGTGGTCGCGCGTTTTGAAGATTCCGTTGGATGCTAGTTCTAGCAACTATTACAGAGTAGCAGCATCTCTTTGCCTTTCTTCTTCTTCTTCTTCCAAAATACTAGCTGTGAGTAAAGCTTTCTCTTTTATTCTGGTCCTAATTTTCAGACCCCAAAAACAACAACAAAATTGAAAGATGCTTCATTTTTGAAAATAGCAGGCGCCTTCTGCAAATGCGATATTCTTTCATGGGGACAGAGTTCGAGAGACAGGGAATCATGTGATTGAGAGACTCTATGATTTGCAGAAAGTAGCTGAGATCATAGTTTCTAAGTTCGGGGACTCTGTTAATGCTTGGATTGTTGAGGCGTCTCTGTATAACGGGCCGTTTGCGATCTTCAAGGACTTTGTTCCATCAGTGAATCGGTGGGGAGAACCAAAATCATATTCCTCTATTGGCTTCCCAGCTTCTTCATCAATCGTTTCCCTCTTATCCAATTGCCTTCATGAGGTATTTTCTCTGTTTGATACTAAGCTAGAACAAGTCAATTATGGTATTTTGATTTTACAATGTGAATGTATGAATGATCAAATCAGGCAGAGAGTCTCATTTTGAAGGAAGGTAAAGAAGTGAGTTTGATAAATCACTGTCCAAGAACAATTGTTCTCGGGTTTAGCAAAGGTGGAGTTGTGATTAACCAGCTCCTGAGTGAGATCAGTTCCTTGGATGATCATACAAACTTTGCTGAAACTTCATCTGCAATCCAAGAAAAACCTATGGTGAAAGAATCAACGAGCAAGCATGAAGCGATTCAGATCATCCCAGCCTCCAACGAAAGCTTCCTCAACAGCATCTCTCAAGTTCATTATATCGATGTAGGCCTCAACTCTTTCGGCGCCTACATCACTGATCACAACGTCGTGCAGAGAATCTCCCAACGCCTTGCACGAGGAGCAAGCCCGATACGCATCTTCCTTCATGGAACACCAAGGCAGTGGCGTGATGAACATCGTGGCTGGATTCTCAAGGAAAAAGATGAGCTGCTTCGGCTGCTCAAAGCCGAAGCTGAAAATTCCGGTGAGAAACTAAAGGTCCATGAAAGGTTCTATTTTGCTGATAGGCTTCCTGATCTACAAATGCACTTTGACATAATTGATGCTTTGGATGTCTCCTCAACATCATAATCTCACTTTGAAATTTTCCTTTTTTAAAAAAATAATACTTTATATTGATTCAAAGGTGACATTTTTGAATTTGTCTGCTAATCTTTGGATTCCTTTAAACTTAAATACTTTCCTGTCTATGTGTGGTCGATTAAGAGTTACAGAGCACTGAGCTCGTAGTTTGTATTAAGATGAAGAAGAAGATGATGCAACACGAGCGAGAAACTCAACCGTTATGGCTTCCATTTGAGAGAAAATGCTTTGACTTTCTCCAGCAAAGCCCTCGACTTGGCAGATTCTCTCTTCTTCAAATCCATGCTTTCATGCTTCGGCACGCCATAGATACCAATGTTCAAATCTTCACCAAATTCTTGGTCGTTTCCGCGTCGGCTGTTGGGATTACTCACGCACGTAAGTTGTTCGATCAAAGGCCTCAGAGAGAAGACAGTTTCCTCTGTAACTCCATGATCAAGGCCTATCTCGATACTCGTCAGTATCCTGATTCGTTTGCCCTTTACAGAGATCTTAGAAAGGAGACGTGTTTTGCTCCTGACAATTTCACCTTCACGACGTTGACCAAGTCCTGTACTTTGAGTATGTGTGTTTACCAAGGTTTACAGTTGCATGGCCAGATTTGGAGATCTGGGTTTTGTGCAGATATGTATGTTTCGACCGGAGTTGTTGATATGTACGCCAAGTTCGGGAAGATGGGATGTGCGAGGAATGTTTTCGATGAAATGCCTCAGAGAAGTGAGGTTTCTTGGACGGCTCTAATCTGTGGGTATGCTAGGTGTGGGGAGCTACAGGTAGCGAGTAAGCTCTTTGACGAGATGCCTCAAGTTAAGGACGTTGTGATATGTAACGCAATGATGGATGGTTATGTTAAATCTGGTGACATGACCTCTGCGAGAAGATTGTTTGATGAGATGACAGATAAAACTGTCATCACTTGGACCACTATGATTCGTGGTTACTGCAACAACAGAGACATCGAATCCGCTAGGGAACTGTTTGATGCTATGCCACAAAGGAACCTAGTTTCTTGGAATACAATGATAGGAGGATACTGTCAGAATAAACAACCCCAAGAAGCTATAAGGCTGTTTCAGGAAATGCAGGCAACCACCTCGCTAGAGCCAGACGATGTGACTGTTGTGAGTGTGCTACCAGCTATTTCTGACACAGGTGCTCTCAGTCTGGGTGAATGGTGTCACCATTTTGTGCAGAGGAAAAAGCTCGATAAGATGGTGAAAGTTTGTACAGCAATTCTTGATATGTACTCGAAGTGCGGGGAGATAGAGAAGGCGAGAAAAATCTTTGATGAGATGCCAGAGAAAGAAGTAGCGTCTTGGAATGCGATGATACATGGGTCCGCACTGAATGGGAACGCACGTGCAGCTTTGGATCTATTCTTGGCAATGCTAAAAGAGGTAAAGCCAGATGAGGTCACAATGCTCGCGGTTCTCTCAGCTTGTAACCATGGTGGATTAGTGGAGAAAGGAAGAAAATGGTTCCGCGTGATGGAAGAGTTTGGCCTGATTGCTAAGATTGAACACTATGGCTGTATGGTTGATCTACTAGGCAGGGCGGGACACCTAAAAGAAGCAGAGGATGTGATTACAAACATGCCTTTTGTGCCAAACGGTATAATTCTAAGCTCTTTCCTGTCTGCGTGTGGTCAATACAAGGATATAGAAAGAGCTGAGAGAATTCTGAACAAGGCAGTCGAGCTGGAGCCTCAGAATGATGGGAATTATGTTCTGCTGAGGAACTTGTATGCTGCAGATAAAAGATGGGACGATGTTGGGATGGTGAAACGAATGATGAAGAAGAACGAAGCCAAGAAAGAGGTCGGATGTAGCACCATTGAGATAAATTCTATTGTTTCGGAGTTTATATCAGGAGATACAACACATCCTCATCGGCGAAACATACATTTGGTTCTCGGGAAGGTGCTTATGCACATGAAAGACGAGGAAACCAACTGGTGAAAGCCAATCACAGTATTCGTTTTGGGACATCATATGCATGGGAGTGAGCAGCAGCATTCTTAAGAATGTTCCGACCAACGACTTAGAGAACCAAGAATGTTCAGACCAACGACTCAGAGAACCAAGAATGTTCAGACCAACGACTCAGAGAACCAAGAATGTTCAGACCAACGACTCAGAGAACCAAGGCACACAGATCATCAAATTGTATGACGATGTCTTTTGCGTTTCACATTACCCTTATAAAGAAAGTTTATTTAGCTTAAAGAATCTCTCGTTCTCTTGACCTAGGTATGTTTTGGATCTGCCTAAATCAGAGCTTGTAAAAGTGTTGTAGAATTGTTGCAAAATAAAATGTTACTATATTTATTAACGATGAAAGTCATATATATGTATATGAGATACAGAGGTAATTCTAAGTAAATGGGACTCTTTTCACTATCACTTTCTAAAAAAGAAAAAAACTTATATGGATGATTCTGCCTGGTGATGCTCGAGATTGCGAAGGATAATCTTGGCAAAGATCTTAGCTTCCCGAGGCATATTTGCAGCAGCAGCTGCAGAACGAAGGACTCTTGCTTCTCCACCATTCTGCATTAAGCTTGCATGATGCATTGCATGACGACCACCCGGTATTGTAAACTGAATGAGAGAAAATAAACAAAATTCATTGGTTATGTTTCTCAACTAACTTAAAAAGCCGCCACAAGGCCTTTCACGCATTTACATACCTGAAGAAGCGCAAACGCAGCACATGCTTTGAGTATCGAAGAAGGATTGCGTAACATAGTTACAAATCTTCCAATTTCAGCACCACTGCAAATAAAGCAATATGTTAGAAAAAAATTTCAAATATCAGTTTTACGATGAAACACAAGGCACCGAGATTAACCTGCATCTCAAGTGGCCAGCTTCTTGTATGCGAGCTCTCTCTGTCACTTGTGCCAACATAGTAGGAGTAGATGAAACAGCTGCAGCTACAAAGATTTGAGGATCCATGAAAGTTATAACAAAAGCTTCAACGTGTTTAAGAGCCATTCTTCTTGCTCCATCTAAGCTAATGCTTTTCGATGTGCTCTCTGATGAAGAAGTTCCTATCATCAGAGCGTATTCATCCATCCTTTTGCAGATTGAAGATTCAGGTCGAAACATATCAAAAACCATAAAGAGTCAGATTGAATATAGGATGTTCATTAAGCCGAGTTATATACATATATATACCTTCCATCAAACATGTATGCTAAAGCCAATGCAGCCATGAATCGAGCCATTTTTGAGACGGAAGACAAACACAAGTGAACAAGAGTTGGAACTCCTCCTTCCTCCACAATGCGAAGTGCGTTACCAGGGTTAAAAGCAAGATTCCATAGCGCTCCTGCTGCGGTTTCATGTACATCCTGAAAAAAAAAAAACAAAAAAACCAATGCATTGAGGAAAATTTGATCAGATAGCCCAAAAGGCTAAGCTCTCTAAGCCAGAAGACTTGAGGACAAAAATGTTTACCTCGGCTTCAGACCGTGCAAGTGCAATTAGAGGTGGAACCCCACCTTCACGTCCAATCGCAATGCTGATGGAGATTCAAAAGAGCAATGGCAAGATTGTTATTAAGAAAACAAAAGTAACAATAAATTTATCTTGACCAAAAAAATGTATAGATTGATAAGAAACTCGTTTAAAATTTCCCTGATCTCAAACAGTTCATATGAGACATGTAAATTAGATTCAGATGTTTCTCACCTATTTGCTTCGGACACTGACAATCCCCAAAGAGCGCCAGCTGCTCTTTCTTGAAGACCTGTGGATGCATTTGAACAAGACTGTGCGAGCGTCACCTAAATATCAACAAAAATGATTAGTCCCCTAAAAAATCCTCCAGATTAGACATGTAATCATATTAAATACACTGGAATCATACCAAAGCTTCAACACCACCAGCTGCAGCGATAGATTCTCGATTCTTATCATCGAATGACAAGTTCCATAGAGCACCAGCAGCTTCTTGTCTAACACCTTCATGAGGCGCTTGTGTAAGTTGAAGAAGAGCTTCTAACGCACCTGCCTCTTGTCCAACAGCAGCATTATTATTGTTGCTATCACCATGAGCAGCCAAATTAGCTAAAGCACGAGCAGCCTGAAAAAAAAAGTTAATAACACAATTAGACCACAAACTCAACACAATAACAAAAATCAGTAGCATAGCACGGAATATTGATAAAGCAACACAATGAACTTACCTGTTCTTGCACTCCCTCGTACTTGCAATTGCGAGCTAGCATCACAAGGGCATGCACGCCTCCCGCTGTTGCGACTTCCATGCTGCATTTATCATCTGCTGCTAAGTTTGCTAATGCTCCTGCAGCTCGTTCCTAATCACACAAATCAGGTGAAATCATCCATAAAGAAAGAATGGAAATATCCAAAAAATGACACTTTTGACTATCATCACGCATCAAAAAGAATTATTTATCAAAACTAGGGGCACTTGTTCAGAAATGGATTTACATAAAATACTCTTGGATTTATCCGTTTGTATTAAAAAGGAAAAAATGTAGAGATATCTGGTCATAAAATATGAAATTTTGCTTGACTTGTTAGAGAAACATTTTGTGGTTTTCTCCAAACGGGTTATTTTGATTATATTTCTAGAAGGCAACAAAAAGGGTGAAGCTTTTAAGGTGGTGAAAGCGTACCAAGACTCCATCACAACCATTCGGCCATCTAAATATAAGATCGACTAATGCCTTTACTCCTCCAGCCTGAGCAATAGCATTCTTATAGAAAAACAAATCCAAAAAAAAAAAGTAAAGTAAGCTGAATAATCAAGAGCAATAACAAGAATTAAATAGATGATTAGAAGACTTACCTTATGCTCTTCTCCGACAGAGAGATTCCATAGTCCACCAGCAGCTTCCTCAGCCACAAGTCTGTTCATTGACTTTGCCAAACCAGCAAGAATTCGGATTCCTCCTTCTTCAGCAACAGACTTTGCAACATTAGCATTTACCGACAAATTTGCAATAGCCTATAAAAAAATCCGGAAAAACAATAACAAAGAGAACAATGTAAGTGTGTCCAGTCAAAAGGATCAGAATTTCAATATAGAAAATGAAGATTAGCAACCTTTGCAGCTTCTGATTGAAGCCCTTCTCGCCATGATTTCGCAAGTTCTAGAAGGAGACGGATCCCTCCGTCTTTCATAACTGCTTCAGCTCTTCCACAGTCTATACTAGCATTCTCATCATCGATCACTACAAAAGTTGCAAGACCAGTAGCTGATCTCTCTTGAACATCTTCCTGTGAGCTTTGCATCAAAGTAAGTAACAATGCAGCTCCTTGATTCAGCCAGAATTCATCCAATCCCTGTGGATTGCTCTCTGCAGTCCGTAGAAGCGTATGAGAAATAATCCATTCGATCCATCGCATAATGTCATCAAGGGCTTTATCCTTGGTTTTTATCATCAAGTCTCTCCAGTAGGAAAATATATCCTTTGGTTTTTTTGTATTATCGGCGAATATAGAAGCAACTCCATCAAAAACATTAGTAAACAAAGCAAGTAAGATTTTTCCTTTGAATCTATTGGAGCTGACGAAACTTTTATCCTCTTCGAGGACATGACAGTTTAAAGCACACAAAACTTTCAAGCTCTGCGACGATGTCAAGAACCTAGAAACTGCGGTGGGACCAATGTCGGTCCTCGAGACATCCAAACCGGTCAGTTTTGGAAGCTTATCCCATTTACTTGATGCAACTGACCATTTTATGTTCGATGTCCCAGCAACAGAGAGATATCGAACGGATACAACTTTTCCCAGTGCATCCTCGTCGATGTTTAAACAATCTAAAAAGCCGAGATCACTGAGCTGTGGACAATATTTGGCCAGAGCTTCAATGGCTTCGGAAGTAACATCTCTGATCCCGGAAAGGCGAAGCTTTTTAAGCTTTGGACAACAAAAGGCTACAGCTTTGATAGCATCACTAGTGATCTTCTCACAAAAGTCAGGTCCAAGTTGGAGACTCTCGAGTGCCTCGTGGCGCGCCACAATCATCGACAATGTAGCATCTGTAATCTTCCTGCAGTAGTCGCCGCTCACTTCACGCAGATTCCTTGCTCTGAGATGTATAATGGAATCAGCTGATTCAACGCCACGAAACCTTAAGCTATGGAGATGAATACACCTAGAAGCAAGAGAAGCTGCCATTGAAGCATCAAACTTGTGAGCGCGAAGATCCAATGAGGTCCACAAACAAGAAGAAGCAGCAAGACCTCTCCATGTCTTACAAGTCGATGCCAAGCTAGCTCGATCGCGATAATTCAAACAAGTAAACAACTGAAGCACTGTGTCATAAGGCAAACTAGTCCAATCAACAAAGTCGTGTATCTCAGGCGCTACTAAATCATCAACGTCGCTAGTCTCGGGAGAAGTTGGCAACGAATCAACCTTATCTTTCCCATTTTCCTCTAATTTTCTCCGTACCCTGCGGCTCATTATCTTGATCAGATATAATCTACTCTCTAAAAATCGAAACTTTGTGAAACTCTGATCACAGAGAATCAAACGAAGACACAGATCTTCGTAGCACAACAAAAAGACCCAAACCTTTCGCAGAGAAGTCGTCCCGATTTTGGCAATTAAGATACTTGGAAGACTATTCAAAGACCAGCTACTATTATCGAATCAACGACGCATTTTACACAATATGATCAGATAAAAAAAACGAATTCGAGAGCTCGACGCAAAAACCCTCAAATAGAAAAGATGATTAATTAGAGAAGAAACGAACAGGAACAAAATCCCTCAATGGATTTGCATTGACAATAAACTCACAATGGGAATTTCAAAGTGAAGGAAAAAGAGAGTGATGGTCGGAGAGAATTCAGGCAACCCGAAAACTGGCAGAACAAAAGAAACACAAAGCCGTCTCTCAAGTAATTCCGTTAAACTCTCTCTCTCTCTCTCGCTCCCGAAAATTCCTTATTTCGTGCGGCACGAAGAGAGAGAGAGAAAAGAAGGGGAATTGAGGAAGACAGACGAAGAAGAGGAGGAAATTGCTAAATTCCGGGCCAAGGCTTTGAGAGAGGGCTTCGTGTGATGAACATAACACAGCTCATAATATGAAATCACCTCCTTTCTTACATTTTGCTATATATATATAACTGTGTTATTTTGCATATTTTGAGTGTTTAAATTACAGTGTTATTGTTCGACCAAAAAAAAAAAATTACTGTGTTATTTTCATATTGTATATAAAAAATGTCGACAAACGCACCTCCTTTTTTTTTTATTATACGAAAGTATTTGTTGCCTAAAGTTACTATATTTGCTTGAAAAGGTTAAAAAATAAAAGTGTGTTTCTAAATACGTTGCTATTATGCGTTCGTGGTTCATGAACCAAAACGAATTAGGCAAAACAAGTTCGTAAAACCTCTTCTGATTCACCCAAAGTTGGCAACTCCTTTAGTTCTTAAACCATTCAAATCAGATCTCCAAGAATTTGTCATGCTTTATTATGGAATTTCATTGTCTTTATTTATACACTCAAAAAATTGTGCTGAAACTAAAAATATCCATCAACTTCTTTGTAGTTTAAAAAAATTAGTCGTGCCATCTTAAAGTTACTATATCTGTTTTTTTCTGGGTGTTACACTTTAGTAGTAATACCATATATCTTTCATCTGTTGTTACAACAACAAGAAAATGTTAGTAAGAAGCAAAAATTTGATGAAATTGGTTTCAGGGTAAATCGAATGTGCCAAAGAACGAAACGGAAGAAGCCTGTGCTTCAGATAGTTGTAGGTCCAACACCAGCACCAGAAGAAGCTTATACCGGAGGATCAGTTTGTCCTTTCCAACAGCGCAAAGGCTTGACCACCTTCAAGAGCGATTAGGGCAGAGTGATCCAAGCAAAGCCATTGATTGGCTACGAGAAGCAGCAACAAGCTAGGAATCGGAGAATCATCATCATCAAATGTATAGAACCGGTCTGTTCTGGTTTAATTATTTTTGTGATTGAGTCTTTGATTAAAGGACAATCAATTCTATAACCAGAGTCTCGACGGCGTCCATTATATGACAAACCAAAACTGGAATTTAAAAGGACAATCAATTCTATAACCAGCTCGTTTTTTTTGCATTTTGTCAAAGAAGAGCCTGACGTCTTTTTCAAATTTCTCGCATAAAAGCTTTCGAGTTAATTTCAATATTCATACTTATATTTTTATGTATTATACTATCAATATCTATACTAACGAAAAAGACCCCCTACCCCTAGTGAGCTAATCTTGACTGGAGAGAAATAGCTGCGCAAGGAGTTGGTCGTTGTGGACTTGGCCGTCCCACCACCGTAGGAATCCATCCACCACCGCCAGATGCAGCGGAGGAAGACGACGGAGGAGCAGCAACGGCGGTGGAGGAGGAGGAAGCCGAGACACGTTCGCAAGAAGGACACATTGTAAGAGTAGTTGGAGGAGTCATGTGCATGTAGAGATGTGGAGACAGCTTCAACGCTCTGAGCTCAGATACTTCCTTGTGCAACCGTCGATTCTCCTCCGTTAGATTATCGCAACATCTCTTCAAATACTCACAATCAACCTCCGTTTGTTTCAGCTTCGTCCTAGAGTTGTAATCAAGTCCAAAAACATCATCTTAATATTACTTAAGTACTCTTCCAATCATTTACAGTTCTTGTTTTTGAATGTCTTCTAGATGAATTAATAAAAAAACAAATTAACATAATGTTTTTAAATCCTCGCAAAAATAATTAATTCTTTTTTGAAGTTTGTTCAGTTCATAAATTGAAATTATAATTTTGCGTTAACTAGCTATGTGGGATCATTACATTGGCCACTACTATTGATTGTTTTAAAAGAGAAAAAATAATAATAATTGAAATAGAGAGAATCCCCTAACAAACAAACAAAACAAAGTTAGATTTTTCTTTAAATATACGCATGCATCTCTGAACTCTATTTAAGGCTGTAGTAAAAAGTAAAAACTCCATGTGACAGAACAGAGCCAGAAGATCCTATTAGGATTTTTCTTTTAGGATATGGAAATGAAATCTTTTTTGGGCCATAAAGGGACAATTATATCCCCATCATAGCAATTACTAAGGATATGTAAAGTGAATTTCCGTTAATACCCCTAGAGATAAAGGAGGAATTTCTTTACCTTGCCCTTCGGTTCTGGAACCACACTTCTACTTGCCTTGTCCTTAGATTCAACTGTCTCGCTAGGGCCAGCTTTTGCTTCTGCCCAATCCGATCATTCCAACCAAAAGAAAAAAGAAATTTTAGGTTTTAAGTGATAAACTACGGAAAAATCATGATAAAAAGGATAAATTTTACGAAAATGCCACTAACCGGATTTAGAGTGGTATGTTCTTTGAAAGTCTCTTCGAGAACCACAGCTTGTTCCTTAGATAAACGGAGTTTCTTCCTCGATCCGTCGCCGTTTCCGCCGTCTTCATCGTCGCTTCCACCGCTTCCGCCGCCGTGTGAGCAAGAAGCTCTCTCCCCCTCGTTTTCATCTCCTCCTCCTCCTCTCGCCGCCGCAAGATCTCTCTTGTTCCCACTAACACTCGAGACGGTGCTGTTCGGCGACGACACGCCGGTGCCGTCTTCCTCTAAGTCAACCACCGCCGCCGCAGACGGAGCTCTGTTCACGTCGAAACCTCGTCCAAAAGATCCGGCGTCGGGATTTTTCTCTACAGTTATACGAATAATTCCGTTCGATAATGAAAAGCATTTTAGCTTCAGTTTCGTAGATATCTAAAATTAATGATCTTTTTTAAAAAAGAAAAATAATAAGATCGGATCTGAAACATAGATACGTATTAAGTAATTAGGACTACATGAAATTTACAGCGAAATCGTCAAAGAAACATAATAATGTTTTGTACTTAAACAGAATTCCCACACATCAAATGTAAGAAAAACTCAGGGAAATAAAATAGAAAGAGAAACCAACAAAATTACCAGAAGATTGAAACAGATGAGGCCAAGAGTTGTGTTGAATCTTCTTCTGGAGATGGTTATTGTTGTGATTGTGCATGTGATGAAACGAAGATGAAGAAGAAGAAGTTGTCAAAGGTAGTAGATTCAACCTCGGACATGGTTCCTTCTGTTGACTAAACCCCAAGCTTAGACTCAGACCCAACCCATCATCTCTTTCACCCATTTCTACAAATAAAAAAAAATTGTTTTCTTTTTCTTGGTCGTCTTTCAAGATTTTCTCAAGAAAATAATGAAGTTGTGCTGGTTAATACGACTAATATATATTCAAAATGTTGACAGGTAGAGAGATAGAGAGAGAGAGGGGGAAGGGTTATGTGGGGGCTTGGGGTTTCAATGATGACTTGTGTCAGAGAGACCCTTGTCATTTCAATGATGATATATACTGTTACCTGCTCTCTCTTTTTTTTTTTTTACTATACCAAATGTTAGAAAATAAAAACCCATTTAACTACAATACGTTGAGATTTTGAGAAATTTAATTTTGTTCATTTTCTTCATAAAAGTCAATAACAAACGTTAACATTTCAATACGTCAAGATTTCAGTTTTCTGTTTGTTTGTGTTCGACTATTATTTATTTTCTTTGTTTCATTATTTTATATACAAAATGCTTTAATTTTTACCCTCCAAACCTAAAAGCTTTGAGATGAAGTTTTTTTTTTCTATGAGAAGTGATTGTATTAATTTGAAGCAAGATAAGCTGAATACAAAGTATTGGTAAACCAATAGGGTTGATAAATACTATCCGAAGAATAAATATTCACAAAAAGATCTTTAAGTAGGCTTAATTCAACTAATTAAATGTTTAATGTTTCGGGTGTGAGCGCAGTGATGCATTTGTGAAGTGGTATGTACACACGCTTCGTAGATCTACTAAATATAGTCCCGCAGATCATTGTTTAAATTGGTTTATATCTTAAGACTTGAAAGAATAATTCAAGAGGAAAAACCAGATATAGAGGGGTAAAGTTGGGGACGGTAAAGTTGGGTCGAACGTGAAGTACAATAGCGAGTATAAGCGCGTGGAGACGAAGAGAATGGCGTTGGGCTCAAAATGGGTATGGGAGTAGAAAAACGATGTCGTATCGATAGGTTACACTGACTTACACAGAGCCTAACACTGCATGGGGTTAAACTTTAGAGTTACCTGTGAACCCAACATGAATTCGATTCTCTATCCTCAATCTATTTATTATTCCCTTTTCCAAAACTCTCCTTGATTGTAATTTGTTTGGGTCAACTAATAATTGCTAAATTTCAAGTTTTTCCATTGATTAATTGTTATGGTTCTGTCTAATACAAAACAGACATTTGGAAAAGACTAGTGGTGGTAGAATTTGTTTGGTATTGTTTTTTGCTAAAGTAGTGGTGGTAGAATTTACTGCTACTTCTTGTAGCTGAGACAATAATTTTTGTTCAATTTTTATTTAATTTTTATTGTTTTCAAAGTTGTTGATAATGCCACCATTATTACTGCTTCAGTTTCTTTGAGAGTTATTACAGACAAGACAGGTCGGGTTTGTTAATTAAATTAACGTTAAAATGGGAATAACGTTCGACTCTTCTTACTTTCCAATTTATTCAAACTGTTAATGAATTTGTATTTGACTTTGACTTTTATGACTTCTAATATCTTCAGTTAATGTGGTCATGCTTTTCGTTGGTTTCAAATACTTGCTTTGACCTTTCTGGTAAATTTTGTTTATTAATTGATTCCATTTGGAGCCTCATTGGTAGTTTTGACTGGTTGTTTTCTTTTAGTCAACGTTTTGACTGGTTGTTTATTGCGAATAATACTACTAAATTTATTCTAATATAGATAATAATAATATGGGCTTAAATTCATAAAACTCGTTTAAGAGAACGTTAAACAAATAAGAAAACTAAAAAGAATAATTGGATACATGTTACGGTCCATAAGCAATGATAATTTAGTTCTTTATATTCCCAGCAGGTTCGCTGTGGATCTGAAACTGACGGCTTCATTTCTCGAGGTAGACATTTTCATGTCATCATTATTCATATGAGAATAAGAAAGTTCAACGTGTGACCCGTATTGGAATTCGATCATAAAGGACCTTCTCACTAGTTTCCCGTGTTTCATATAATTAGGAAATGGCAATGTTTGGGTTTGTATAAAACAACAGTTTGATAGGAACTATATTTAGTAGATCTACGAAGCGTGTGCATACCACTTCCCAAATGCATCACCGTGCTTCTCGAAACTTTTGATATTTAATTAATTAAATTAAGCCTACTTAAATATCTTTATTTTTCTTTGCTAAAGTACTTAAATATCTTTCAGTTAATCAATATTGAAATAGTTTGAATTTCATATAATTAGGAGATGACATTCTTAAATGTCGTAAGAGAAAGACCAAAGGTTAAAATAGTTATTACCATGGTTGTATTTAACCAAGTGTGATAATGCATTAGTAAATCCACATCTTGATGAAAATTGGCATTCTTTAGATCAGGATCCTCTCAAACGTAAAACTTACTGCGCCATTTTACCACCTATATCCCTTTTAAATAGTAAAAAACACTTAAATTTTGATGGTCTCCAGAATCAAACCTCGAAAATATAAAAAAAAAACAGTCGTTATATTTCTAATTCATGGTAATCATCATTACTGTTGTAAACTATGCTCCTTTTTTTGTAGTACCGTAGTTTGAATTCGTATACGTCAGTATATTACCACTTAGATTTACAAATAAACAAAATTGTAAATTTTTTTATTTTTTGCTATGAAACCAAAATTAAACAAAATTGTAAACTTTATAAAATGGTCTAGACAAGCCGCAATGAAGTTCACAATGAAACTAACATTAAACTAAACTGTTTCTTCTTATAATCCATTACTACTAAAATTGTTTTGAGATTATAGAAGCATGTTCAAGTATATAATATTCGAAAATGTGAAATTTTGGAAGACAGAGTGTGACGGTGTGGGAGTGTAGTTCTGAAGCAAGATTAAAGAACAAGAAGACGTGGAGGTAAAAAAAAAAAAAAAAAAAAGAAGACGTGGAGGTCACGTGGGAGATGGGAAGGAGTTCACGTGCACAAAGACGTAGGAAGTTGCCAACGTGGCAGCACGTGGTCCCTAGTGACCACACTCGTGCGGCGTAATTTTTGTTCCTCCACGACCAGACATCCACTTCTCTTTAATCATTGGATACTCTCTCTTTCTCACTCACTAGATCTCTCGCGTGCACACCACGCTCTTAATTGTTCATGGGTAAAGTACGTTGCGAGATTTTCAAGAATAGAACGCTACAAGCCCATAACAATACAAAGATATAGGAGTACAAATCAATCTACACAATTTATATGTGTAAGAAAACCAACAACAGTATTCTAGGATATTTGATGAGACATTTTTATTTTTCAATCACATCTCTTTTACTTCTTTTCTCGACAACTATTCATTTGTAAAACATGGAAATATATGCTAAACACACTGCATAGATATATGATCTGAATTGTAGATCATATATGTTTCTTATAACTATATGTGGATGAAATTAAAGACTAGTCACATGATTTTTGTAAGAAACAGCTTTAGAAAGAAAAAAAAGAACAGGATCCGTCGAGAACCGACCAATGCAACCAAGCCCATGTTTCACCAAAAACTAGTTTCAGAGGTAATCATGCATGAATATAAATTATTATTTTATCATATAATATACTTAAATTTCGAAATACTTAATCATGGGTTGATCAATTCAATAATTTTAATTTTTTGACACACTTTATTAAAAAACGATAAAAATTCTGGCCCCGCGTGTGTGTCCATATCCATGTGCAAAAGCTCTTCCATTGCATGTGTTCTCTCATTTTCTAGGTTCGGTTTGAACTGACATTTATCACCGATCTCGACCCTACATAATAATTCAGATTCTAATTTATCTTAGTTCTTATAGTTTTGAGAAACCAATTTAAGAAATTTCACAAATATAACAATTGAATAGTTTTAACCCCAAAAAAAAAAAAAACAATTGAATAGTACCTGAGTGTATCACTATTAATTTCGAGGCACATGATTACAAATGTGCGTGTGTGTGGGTGAATTTTGTCCACTTCGATATAATGATTTTTCTGACATAATTGTAGGTACCAAATTTATAATCTGTAACATACTATTAATTATATGTGTTTTATATGATAAATCATTCACCACCAATGACGTCAAAAAGAAAGAGAAAAATTATTCAACCATAGTACCACTGTAGAAATATACTCCATATATCCATCAGTAAAACACGTACCAAATAATTATTACAAATTAATCATTACAAAATAATTATTATATTTTTCACGTACCAAATGATTGTATCGCCGTACCACAATACACGATTGTATTGACATAACACAATACACACGATTGTATTGACGTAATCTAACAAATTACTCGAATCATTAGTTTCACATGTCCACGTGGGAAGCCCGGCACTTATTTTGGTCCGTTCTAAGATTTAATCGTTTCTTATTCATTTATTATTTGTAATCGATCCGTGCAATTTGTATCGATAGATTTAATTAAGCGACAATTCAAAGGGATTTTTCAAAAACACATGCTACGCTTCGAAAAAAATACATTGCTAACTGTACATGAGTATAAGGTTTTAGAAACAGCTGTTCACATGCATGCAGAAATTAGATAACTAAAAAAAAGGAAAAACATATATCTAATCTCTGTGATATTACTTAGGTGATTGAATCCTAGCTAGAATGAGGATAGGAGAGACCAACGAATCTAATTAGTTCTGTTACTTCTAGAGAACTTAAACTTTCTTCGGACCAAAACATTAATTTGATAATTTTATTAAACTTGAAAAGTTTCTAGTTATTATATACAGAACATAAAATCTTAGAAAACATATCTCTAAATGTCCGGGTTATAATTTACGAAAGAAAATGAACAGAAAAACATAACAATTCATTTCGGAAACATTTATGATATCCTAAAGTCTAACAAAGCTGAAAAGCAAGACTGAAAAAAAAAAAAGGTAGCAAGGAGACAGGGCGAGTGAGAGCCACGTGAGTAAGATGTGTAAAGAATGGGGTGAAGTGAAAAATAAATTGCAAAGGAGTAATGGAATTAAAAAACAACGCCAGTTTTTCACGTGGGAAGTCACGTGAAAGAGTGTCCACGTGTCATCCTTACAAGAAAAATAATAGAGGGAGACATTGTCCCACCTTCTCAGTGTCCCTCTCACCGGACACCAATCATTGGACGCCATACTTGAAGTTACATTTATGCCCTTTTCCAAAGGCTCCTCCTCTCATGATGTTATTATGATCAAAACCTCGAATTCTTTCGTCGTTTTGTGTAGTCTATCTATGAACATCTGTATGTTATCCATGTGACTTGCACGTGATCTCGCTCTATTCACAAAACTTATTGTTTGATTTTTTTAGTAAAACAACTTCGATCTGTGGCTTAACGGAATAATTAGATGGATTAAAAAATTCCGAATTTAGATAAGAGAATCCGGTTCATATATAACATATTTTATTATTAAATTTAAATTCATTATGTATAGGTAAAAACTTTCTTGTATACAGAAAAAGGATGAAGTTAAGATGGTAGAGCTTACCAATATATATTGGGCCTATTTTGGCCCATTAAAGGTGGGCCTTCCTCAAGTCGCAATTTGCACCGGTCAAACTGTAATCAAAATTTTATCCACAAGCCATTGGCTCATCCACTGAAACAGACGGACTCTCATTGATTTGTGAAGAAGAAGAAGAGCAAAACAAAAATGGTAATTCTAAGCAACGTCTCGTATCTCTGCAGCAAACCATCTCTTTCTTCTCTCCCTAGTTCTCCTTCTTCTCGTTCTCATTTTATCATTCGCTGCTCACAGGTAATCTCCAGTTTTTCTTTCTTTCTCCAACCTCTGAAACGCAGTGTTGAATTGAAACCCAGAAGAAATATAGATTCTTTTTGCGATTTTTCTTAGCAGGAAGGGAAAGAAGTGGTTAGTCCTTTGGGGAGTTTGTTATGGTCGTTAGGAGAAGATATTTCAAAGAGAAGTCTACTTGCACTTGTCTCTGCTTCTCTCTTCTTTGTTGATCCTGCTCTTGCTTTTAAGGTAACTCTATCTTTTTTTTTTCTTCTTTTTTTTCCTTTTATACTGTAAGCATCATATTCATTTTCGAAAGCTCACAGTGAAATTTAAGGAAGTTCAAAGATTTTGGTATAAAATCTTGGAGTCTTATCCCAAGACAATGTGTTGATTAGATCACCATAGAACGGTTATAAGAAAATGCGGTTAAGGGGAATTAACAAAATAGTTGATGGAAATTTCTCAATAATCTGAAAATCAATGATTACGCTTTGGCTTAGTTTAACAAATGATGTATGGGTGATGAAATATATTTTGCCCTGAAATAATCCAGCCTAAACTTGCAAACCATTGATTGAGTGTAAAGGTAGGCACTTTCGTATGTGAAATGGAACTTGAATTTCAATTGGTTGTCTCTCGAGACATTATGCAACCATTGTATGTAGAGACTAGGCACTTTCTTTGGTGGAATGGAACTGATATTATATTTGGTTTAGTCGGGAGTTTCAGTACTGATTTGGTTCTCAGTTAAGTTATGTAGAAATGTCCTTCAACTTATTTGATGTCTTTGTAGAAACAACTCAAACCAAAAAAAGTGCTTCTTAAGTCTTTATATCTATGTTCTTTGGTGAAAGCAACTCCTTTTGTGATGTGATTTGCATCTACTTGTGACTCAGATATGTATTAGTATCCAGTTCACTTGGAATTATATAGCTGCAAACAACATAAATTCACCGTATTTTCTCGATTTCGATGAAACTGAAAAGGGTGGAGGTCCATATGGACAAGGAGTCACCAGGGGACAGGACTTATCCGGCAAGGATTTCAGCGGCCAGACTCTGATCAGGCAGGACTTCAAAACGGTATTATTCAAATGTTGTAGATCATCATGAACACCAAAGCTTTCGTTTGATCATCCTCTATTTGATTGATATCTTCGTGCAGTCCATCCTAAGGCAAGCCAACTTCAAGGGTGCGAAGTTGTTAGGTGCTAGCTTCTTTGATGCAGATTTAACAGGTATGTTTGATTCTGTTTTCTATGTCGAAATAGATAAAAGAACTGTCTGTAATAGAAGAAGGCTTGTGATTCATGGATATTAACTCTTTTTTATCATATCGTAATCCAGGTGCTGATCTATCGGAAGCTGATCTTCGAGGTGCAGATTTCTCCTTGGCAAACGTAACAAAGGTCATAATTCTATGTTATCTATGTGCATTTGTCCATAATATATGATGTGTCTAAGTGTGTGTAAAGCTTGGAAAACAAAAAAAATGATCCTTGACATTAATGGCGAATAGTTTAACAACTTTTGCAGGTGAATTTAACGAACGCAAACTTGGAAGGAGCGACTGCTACTGGAAACACATCATTCAAGGGATCAGATATCACAGGCGCAGGTAAAAAGAAGAAGGCTTTCATTTTTAACTATTAAGCACAACCCTTTAATTAATACCTTTGAGCTTCACATAAAGTTTGATACTTTTTTGTTGCATAAAGTTTGATACGTTTTTTGTGTGTATCTTTTTTTTTTTTTTTCCTTTTGTTGAATTGGAATTAGACTTCACTGATGTTCCTTTAAGAGATGATCAACGAGCATACCTTTGCAAAATTGCGGATGGGTAATATTCTTCTGCTCTCATCTCTTAGAATCTATCTTATTCCAAGTTCTAAGATTCACCAGAATGTGATTGAATTCTTTTGTTTGTTTTCCTTTTTTTTTTTTGTTTGATTCAATAGGGTTAACGCGACCACTGGGAATGCAACGCGGGACACATTGCTCTGCAACTAAACGGTTTAAGTGTAAAGCTTTGTATTGTGAGGAGCCTTCTTCATCTGAGTTTCTTAAGGTTTGACCATTGTTAAAGCTTTTTGTGACTGTTGTTGCAGTCTGTGTATATATTTACTAATCTCAGGCTTTGACCTTGAGAGATTAAGTATGCTAATTATCTCCCGGCGTACAGAACATTAATATCAAAGAAACGAACTTTCTGGTAAATCAAAAAACGATTGTGACAAATAGTTTACTTGAATCTTTCATGAGTTTTCGCTAACAATACCTGTTGAGGGTTTATAAAAATTTCATAATGCGTTGTAGTAATCTGAGTTGATTCCTTGAAAAGAAGCGAACATTTAGTCCTTGTTACTTTTCTTCAACCAACTTTCAGTTGTTGAGAAGTGAAAATTGAACGAGAAGTGACGTAATCCTTATACAAGCTTTGACTTAACCAAGGTGGAGAATAAATACAACTTTGAATAAAAGAGTAGATTCGGATCAGTCCTTGCTTGGCTAAACAATGCGCTGGTTCATTGTTAACATCTTCTTGTGCTTCTGTGGTACTGATATTTAGAAAAAGCTCACTGGTTGTATATCATTACCCTCAATATTTTGCCACTCCCAAATTATTGTCCCTTGAAGAGCTCAATTAAAACACGTAAGTTTTGATCAGTTTTAGTCTTATCGTTTAGATTTGCACACAAAAATAAATTAGAAAAGTTAAAATTGACACCAATGAATACTGAATGCTATACGTAGAAATTAAATAATATTTTTTTCCTTTCTTAAAAACGAACTTTCCATTACTCGGAATTTTCTAACAATGATGCATAAGGAAGATAATTTATAACCTAAAACATAGTACGTGGTCTCCTGTGAACTACAAATTTATGACATATCAAGAAGTTTTTGATATTATTCCTTAAAAATCAAGATATTATTCCTTAATTAAACCCCAACCGTTGCATATGCAATGTACCCTTTCATGATAAAGATATATGCAAAACAGATAACAGATTTCTTTTTTGTTTGTTTGTTCATATCTTGTTGGACGAAAGGAGAGAGAAGAAGAATTGAAGTCATGAGGAGCACCTTGAATCCATATGCGCCACCGTTTAAACCGGTGGAATACTCTGACGAACGCTGCCTTTTCCTGACCTTCTCAAGAGGCTTCCCCCTCACGGAAAGCCAGCTTTTCAACTTTTTCAACAGGCAAGTAAACTAACCCTAACTAATGTCCAAAATCCACTAAATCTAATAATTGGATAATAGTTCTTGGTTTTGTGTTAATGCAATTTGTCATCAGATCTTAATAACTTGCAGTTCCCGTTGATTACATTGTAGATGTTCGCTATGTGTACCCCAGTATCCTACTTTATGAACCAACTCTCTCTCACACACATTCACACATACACGAAATCTATAGATATGGATAATAATTTTGGTTTTGTATATATGTACATATGCTATATTTCATGTTAGGTTACATCGCATTTCGCAAGACAATATGCATAAATTTTTTTTTTTTTTAAAAAGGTTGTCTAGCTTGTCACGTTTGGTGATTCATATCATACGGTTTTGTTATTATAGATTTGATGCTATCCATATGGTTATTTGATGTGTAAATATGTGATGGTGATCATCAGGATGTTCCGACCGTATGTGGATCAAGTGATAGTGCACAGGCCTAAGGAAAGAAGGATGCCTTCTTTGTTTGCGAGGGTGATGTTCAAGGTTTCTCTCATACCAGACCTTGTGATGGGAAACCATGAAAAGGTTTGCTATTTCGTCGATGGTAGACATTTTTACTGCAGGAGGTTTGTTAGCCAGAAGGACAGAAATGCAGCCACCCGCGCAAGTAACAGCCTCCGTGGTGGTCGTGGTGGTAGCCACCACAGTGGTCACCACTGATCCGAGCCTGTCTATGGACTTAGTGACCGGTGAATTAAAACCCCTTTTGTTGTATCAATGAAAGGGTTTTTAATTGGACATACCGAGTTCCGAGTCTCATGTTTCTGGAGTAAAACTTGTTGTTGTTTTTTTATTGTATGAATAACGGAGTCTGTTCATGTGGGAACGGATGTAAAACTTTAATCTCGGTTGAGAGACATCTTTAATAATTATTATGAACTATTTGAAATATGTTTTTTTTTTTCTTTTCTGAACTTTCGTAATTTGCTTGAGATATGGTCTCTGAAGTAGACTCGCCGGAGAGTGGCCATGGATCTGTTGAGAGGCTTTTCGTAGTGTTAGCTGAGGCTTTCTGTTATATCTCGTAATAGTAATAGCCATAGTCAACAATCCCTAAACACAACTTGTTCACCATTTCCGCAATTGACCCTTTACGTCCCAATCAGTTCTTTATAAACCCTGTGTTATGTAAATATGTATTAGGAATCACGCGATCTAAACATCAAACAAAAACTTATTCGAAGATATAAAACTGTGCCCAATTTCTTGATTCTTAATAACTGCTTTTTTTTATTGTTGAGAAAATTGAAATCAATATTACATCCAGTCGAACCAAACGATATTTATTTTTATAATCCATCGCTATCTTATAAACTTAAACATGAGCAAGTAGAGTGGGCAGCCCCACAGTAACTGTTGCTTGTACAATGCTTAAAAAATTACGCTTTTTTTTATAAAATAAACAAAAGAGCTTCTAAAATTATATATACCTTAATTTGGTTGACGAGCAGGTCAACGTCTTTCTCGGTTTCAATAAGAGAGTCCATGAAGTCGATGTAGTTACAAACAAAGGCTCTGTAAGTGTAATAACATTGCTCGAGTGATATTATGTTCCTCAAATCCCTTTCAGTGTCATCGTCTGCTTTGAAAGCAAGGCATTGTCAAGATTTCACCTTCAAATTTAATCATTAACGTGTCTTTTTATTCTTCTTCTTCTTCTTCTTCTTCTTCAAAAACATCAAATTCTACTCTTGCACTGTCTAACATGTCTGCATTGCGGAGTCACGCTATCGAATCCATTCTCACAAGTTTGTGTAATTCTTCTCTTCTTTCATTAGAACAAGCGTCTCAACATGGACAAGTCGACGCATATCCGTGAGATGTAGGAATTTATTTTCTCTTGTGATATTTCTTGGCATCCGAAAACCTCGAAGGATAACGGAACGTTATGTTAGTCTATATGATTATATATGATAAAAGAATAATTCATCTATAATGTGTGTATGTGAAGATATATATAACTTAGGGTTGTAAGGTGATATTTTATGGAGAGAGAAACTAATTAGAAAGCAAGTATTTGTTTTTACATTTTGTTTTTACTATTTCTTTCCGTTCTCTTGGATTTTCATTCTCCATTTGATATATATAAGTAAGTATGTACTATTCTTAGTCTGATCGGCTGATCCTAAATGATTCTGTGTTGTTTCTTTTCTTTTTTTTTGGCAGAAGTGGAACGTCGTTTTTCTTTATCGAAATAATTTTATTGAATTAAAATAAACTGAATGACGGAGGCTGGGAGCTTTCGAAAACCTAGGAGGGGAATCGAATATCTTATTTGTATTTTAAACTATTGCTAGCGAAGATCGGTCAAAATATAGAACGTTTGATTATAGATTACAGATAAAATAATAGATACATTACATAAATTTTTCATCGTTTTCCAAATTCGCTATGAGGAGAAGTGAGTAAGAGAGAGAGAAAAACAAAGTTAAAGGATAGTTTTGTGTGGAAAAGAAAGAAAACAATACCTAGATTTGTTTCTTGTTATAGAAGAAACAATCTACAGTCCTTGGGGCGGAGCTGGAGGCGGCGGAGACTTGTCGTTATTCTGCGTCACTTGGAGATTTTGAGCACCTCAAACATATTGCTGATTAAATAATTAGTTATGAATTAGATCTTTTTGTAAAAGTGTTTATTTTTGTTTTACCTTTCTTGACGAGCAAGTCAACATCCTGCTCAGTGTCGATGAGGAAATCCAAGAAGGCAATGTAGTTACAAACATAAGCAGAGAAAGGGTAATGGCACTGCTCGAGTGCCATTAAGTTCCTAATAACCTTCTCGGTGTTATCTTCGGCTGTGAAACAAGGCATTTTCAAGATTCCTCCTTGGAAATCAATCACCAACGATAAATCATTTTCTTCACCCACATTCACAAAATCCACACTCTTGCGCTGTCTAGTTTGTCTGCATTGTATAGAGTCATTATGCTCCTCGGTTGCTCAGCCTTTCCTCTACTAGGCTCTTCTTCTTTCAAACCAAGTGTTACGACACGGACACGTCGCTACAAATCGGTAAAATGTCGTAATTTTACGTCCTTTTGTAGCTTTCCTTCAAACCCAAAAACTCGAAGGATAATGTCACGGAACGTTTCCTCAGTTTTAAGCTGAAAGAGAAAAGGTTCGAAAAGTTCTTCTTGGTTCTCGAGCAAGATTAGGTCTTCTAAAATAGTGGTTATGAGACAGGGCTCCTCGAACAGAATATCTTCTTTCCTGTTACACTTTTGAGTTCCGGTCTGAATGAAGAATCCTAGTATGAATACCGAGTCATGTAGGATCATTTCAACGAAATCTTGGGATTTGATCCAACCCGTTGATTCGGCGTAGCTTTCTCTTATAAATTGCTCGTCTCTTTCAATGATTCTCCTGAACTCTTCGACGGTTTGTAATTGTACCCCATATTTATCTGCGATACCTTTAAGGTACCTTTTCTTGCGAAGCTCCATGTTCATATAGTCCAAATATCTGGAGTATTCCAACCGTATTAGCATAGTCTTAATTTTCATCTTTCGGGCAAAGAATTTTTCTGTCAGGACTCAGGCTCTGAACAAACAAAAATATCCCAACGCGGAACACATCTGAAGTTTTGGAACATTTGATATTTTTTTATAACACAAGTTTCTCAAGCTCAATACTATAACATTCGCCCATTGGGCTTTAAGTCCAGCTTTAAAGTTCATTTGGATCGAAGCTAGAATAGCGTAAACACAAACTACAGTTCGTCACTTTTTCTTTTATTTCCAGTCAAATTATTTTGTCAGGTGATGATACTTACGAATATCATGAACTATTGTAGTCATCTACATTGGATTTATGGATTAGTTTGGTGGAGAAAAGATATCAAGACTTAAATAAAACAAATTACTCATACAGGTACGGTTCTCAATGTGACAAAATAGTAATTCGGTTTTAAATGAATTATACTTATACCAATCGTATGGATGAAGGACACCTCATTGATTGTTTATAATATTTAATTTTCATTGGCTATAAATATTTATATTTCAAGTACAAAGAACAGCAAAAGTTACAACAGCGAGCATATAATCCAAAATAAAGATGAACATATAATACTAAAAAGTAAATAAAGAAGCAGAAACTTCAAGAATTATTCGGGGGTGGAAAAATAGGAGAGGAGAAAAGTGGATCATTATCAAATTTTGTCTCTTTAATGATGCAATTTAATATGGCAAATTAAAATTATGGAGACAAAGACAATTTGTAGGGCATCCACTAATATACGTACAAATGATGTGATGTAGGTCTGGTCTTCTCTTAAATTTGTTCTTCCTACAAATTATTACCTTTCCCTTGCATGTTGATAACTATATATAAGATTGAATCTTAAATTTATCTTCTCCCCAAAGAAAAAAGGTATTTATGAAAGGTCTTAAATCTTAATCCCCATTTCTATTTAAAAGTGTGATTGGATTTTTTAAAAGTAATTTTTCCGTTCCCAATTAACTACACAGAACTTTCACACCGCAAAAAAAAAAAAGAACATTAATCGGTCTAAGCCATGCTGATCGTTCCCTTTCATTTCGATTCAAGCTTCCTCCAACCAATACTGAATTTGTTGTATAGTCCTCTATATTCAACTACTCATTGGCATACTTCTTTGAAAAAACCAAATCTTAATGATGAAATTTATTTTACAAAATTGCTCTGTAAAAATGAAAATAAAACTAGAGTTGAAAAACGTTCTCCGACAAAACGTTTTCGAATTCGATATACAATATGTTTTTCAAACAGTTTGAAGATAGATCGAATGTTACTATATCAAAAGTGAGAAACACTTTAGTACTCATCATGTGTAAATCGTTTGAGAGACTTTGTTTTCATTCACTTTTCATCATTATAACATAGAAAGCATTTGTGTTTGTATTTGTAAATATGATTTATACCGCAAAAAAACTATTTTATTATTTCAAAAATGTAATTTTGTTTCTCATGTAAACGCAAGTTCAAATGCAAAAGTGATCGATTTGAAACAATGAGTCCTGATTCTAAGTAGAACATAAAAAAAGAATACAATACATGCTTTGACAAAGAAATTACAATACGTGTTTTTTTTTTTGTAAAGGGTTTTGCAATCACAATGCGTCTGAATAGATATATTAATTCCCTAATTATAATCGCTGTCATTATTATAATTATAATGATATTCAGTCGGACCAAAAGCAAGATTTGGAGGATCTGATTTGGTGTGGCCCAAGAGATGTTACCACTCAACGAACTTCCACAATTACCAAAAAAACTATGATAGATATATCATACATGAATGATTTTATAGAAGCCCTTTAACAAAAACAAAAAGGATTTTAAAGGAAAATACCAAAAAATTAAATATTTGTTGTTTTATTACTATATCGTGTTTTCACTGACAATGTTTTTCTTATCATCAAATGTTACAGATCATGGAACGTTTATAAAAGTAACATGGCTTTAACAATTTTTTCTTGGAACTATATATTATTAATAATTATGTTAGATGCTATATAGTATAATATTTCGAACTTTGAAATACAAATACATTTTTTAACAAATTGGATTTTTAAAATATGATTTTCGCTACTAATCTTGTCTAAATATTTTATTGCTTTTATTTATTTAGACGTTCTTAATTGAAGTGCAGACAAAGAGTTAATCCTTTAATATTGCCATTACGGGGGAGTTGCTTCCTCAAAGGGAAAGTAAACTAAGTTTTTTTTTTTTTGGTGCAAGAAAGTAAACTAAGTTGCACTATCAAATAACACAAAGTACTAGCTAGCTCAAATTATTTACTCTCCATGTTTAATAGAATATAAAATTAGATAGCAAATAGTACTAGGTGTTATAAAACAAAATAAAAACCAGCTTGATTTACGAGAAAGTAGTACATCTCTCATGACCCTTGCGGCCTTGCCCATCACATAATGAAACAGTTCCGAATTTTGTTTTATCATTATTTTAATGGTTACCTCTTTTATGGGGAAACAGAGAATTGAATGAACAAAAGAGTGAGAGGGAACATCATATTTAAGTTTCTGAACCGCTCCCCTTTACCTTTCTGAATACGTATATATGCATTATATGATAATGATTAATGCACATATTTGTACTATAGTACATGTTTACATATACACTGCAATATAGTATAAATGTATTATGTATAGAGTTTCTATACGTAGAAAAACAAAGCATTTTGTTTCCACGAAATAGAAGGTATTTAGATTCAGGAACTAGGACCACTTTTTTTTTCCTTTACCGTTGGGTTACATTCACAAAATTTTACCTTTTATCATATGTAATTGTCAGTATTTACTTGCTCTTGTTTGCTACCTATTTGATCCACTTGCTGACATCGTCTTAACTTCTATAGGTCCTAAGTGGTAAAACAAAAGAAAAAAGAGAATATTTTTTTAAGATGAATGGAAATCAATAAACGAAATATGAAGTCATATGTATATATATATATATATTTATTTTTATTTTTTGTATTCACTCATAACAATATATTTTCTGGATGCAAATTTGTTATTTTTAACTTTTTCCAAGTAGAATAAACAGAATTATTTTTCATAACAAATGGTGAAATTTCAACTTGTTTTTAAGATCCTCTTAAGAAATTAACCATAGTGTAAGCATTTTACAGCAAAATAACGTATTGCATATTGTTTTGTTGTATCTAGGCTAGTATAAGCACATTTCTATATATACAAACCTTTTACTCTTTCGACAAAAGAAAAATAAATAAAAAATATTTGTAGACTAAAACAATTACATTTCTTAATTTAGTCGTTGATAATTTATTTACAGAGAATTAAAAATGAGTGGCATGTGCGCCATGTGTGCTCATTGACTTATATAAAATGTAATGTTAAATCTCGCATCAATCATCGTATATCGTTTGCAGATTTTCCAACAATCTCTGCTCTCTCTTTCTTAGTTTTTAGACTTTTATTTTGTATCTATCTGCACAATTACAACATAAAATTATGTAAATAATACAAAGTTTATTCTCTTATAATCGATCAAGCTCAATCAAAGTTGCGTTGTTTCTCATTTATCTTCCATGTTTTCTCTTGCGGCATTATGTCGTCTTCTTCCTGCTCTTAACAGCTAGACTTTGAATAATAAGATTTTGAAAATTGCTGATATTTTAAACCACGGCTACACCTACCAAGAACAAAATGTTTTTCTTAATTTGGCAACTAATTACTCACACCGTAATGTCAATCTATATAATCACGAATGATGAATTATAAATAAATACCACATAAAATAAAGTTGGACTATATTAAAACAATCGAGAACCTGCAGCTCAGCGTGACTAATGGGGTCAATATTCCTCAACCAACTGAAAAGATTCTAAATGAACAATAGCCACACTTTCCTGAAGTGGACACTAGCTAATTTATTTCATAACTATGAGTCTATGAGTATAGTGTCGTTCGTTGTTCAATGAATTCTTGTATAATGAAAATGTTCAATAAAAAAAGGTAAATATAATATTGAAGCAATATTTTTTATTTATTACACTGTGATGGCCAATGGGGCTATATATATAATAAATATCAAATAAAGTGATTTCTTAATTAATCATGATGGCGCCGAATCGAATATGACGTATCGACACTGTTATGTAGATTTTTGTTCTATACATATTGTTTCACATAAATTTATTAGGTACGTGCATATTTTATGTTTAATCGAAATTTAATATCGTGAGCCATTCGTATTGAAATCTTATGACGTGGCATTACGGCCATCTTAGACTCTTAGTGTAGATTCTAGTATAATCATGCCTTTTTTTCCTCTCTCGAGAGCTTGATTTTAAAATTACTCCAAAACTCCAATGCCTTGGTGCAGGAAATGTGAATCTCGTGTTTATTTTATTACTCCTATTGTATTCGAATTACTGACGGCACGTGTAATCGAATATAATTTGTTTATCTGGACACAATTAATTACTGTCGTAAGTCGTTTAATTATGTATGTCTTAGATTCGCCCACAGAAAAACCAAAGAGGTGTTCAGGAATGAACCATTTCAGTTTGCTTGGTCACAATTAGACTGATTGATTAAACGGTGCGTAGAAGCGATTTGAACAAACGTTGCAAACTGGAGACTTATAGTTTTAGCAGTCAGACATTTTTAAACCGTCATATTTTGCCGCATTGGTTTCTCTCTAACCATAAGTCCATATAATACATTTCAAACCGCCTAAAAATCAACTACCAATCGGACCCCTTAAAAAGTAACGTTCTTTTAATTGGAAAGAAAAAACAAAAAACAAAGAGGACTCTTGCAAGTCTTTTAATAGACCCCGAGACCTACTACCATATGATATATCTTGTTTATTTTTTTGTGCTGTTGAATAATATATAGTTTACATGGATTCGGAGTTACTTTTGTACCGTGTCTTTTCGAATTTTAATTAACTTGGAACACAAAATAAGTTCTGATTTACTAGAACTTAGTAAAAAAATTAAAATGATATTTTATGAAACTACAATCTAATTAAAGTGCATGAAATATATATATATATATATATATATATTCAAATAAGTCTTAGTCTGTCTATGGAAATGTCAAAACAACATTTTTGTGTGGGTTCTATCCAAGAATCGACATCGTACTCTAATTCTTTTTCTTCTTTTTCATCGTACTTGATTTCTTAATATTACCAATCAGATATATTAAAGGAAAAATAAAACTCTGTGAGAAATATAAAGAATATATGCTAAATAAATAAATATGACGTCACATTAACCCCCATTTTGTTTGGAGGTATAAAAATGGAAGATGGGCAATTCATATGTTAAGAGTTGACGCACATGCACGAGGGTCGGGCCATATTCTAGACGAGAATGTAAATAAATAAATTTTTAAAAGTGCCATGCATTTATTATCATTATTTTTTTTGATATATACGTAATAACTGTATTTATTTATTGACATATATGAAAGTATGAAACCGAAGACAAAAAAAAAAAGAAAGAAAGTATGACAGCATGTTGTTTCTATTTATTTTCACATGGAACAAAACTGGTTCACTAAAACTGTGAATCTCATAATATCTTTTTTTTTGTTCCATGGACCCATTCCATCTCCCCTCCTTCATTTATTATAACGAAATCACCATTGTGTATATACTGTACATACCCATATACATTATTATTTTTTTCTAGTATTTTATTTTTTCATTATAGTATGAAAAAGACAAAGAAAAAATAAGATCGCGAGGGAATATTAATACAAGCCCACTTCCCATGTATTTTTGTGCAACCCTCTTTCTCAAGCTTCTCTCTAACAATGGAAACACAAATCATCATAGAGAAGAGTACTTCTCAAGTAACCTTCATCTCCGCCGTATCCTCCTCCTCCGCCGCCGCCTCATTATCCTCACCTACAACATCTTCCTCTTCTTCTTCTTCTTCTTCTTCTTCTTCATCAACAACTTCTAATTTCCCTGAGGAAAACAACTCTAAAAGAAAAGCATCTCGAAGATCATCATCGTCATCAGGATCATTAGCCGTTCAAGAAGATGAAGATGACGTCGGGAAACGGCGAAAAGTCAACGCCGGAGATAAGCATCCGACGTATAGAGGAGTAAGGATGAGGAGTTGGGGAAAATGGGTGTCGGAAATCAGAGAGCCGAGGAAAAAATCACGAATCTGGCTCGGGACTTATCCAACGGCTGAGATGGCGGCTCGAGCTCATGATGTGGCGGCTTTAGCCATAAAAGGTGCAACGGCTTTCCTCAATTTTCCCGAATTATCCGGCGAGCTTCCTCGTCCGGTCACCAATTCTCCTAAAGACATTCAAGCCGCTGCCACCTCCGCCGCCGTCAATTGGCAAGATTCTGCCACCGTTAGCCTCCGTGTGAATAATTCCGATGGAGCTGAATTAGCTGAAGCTGAGCCGAGTCGAGCCGTGATGGCTCAGTCGTTGTCGAGCAGCGTGGTGTGTTCTTCGGATACAATGACTCAACAAGAGTCTTCGGAAACTTCGTGTGCTTCGACGACGACGTCGTTTGCGGACAAAGACAGCGACGAGGAGAAGCTGTTTGATTTGCCGGATTTGTTTACTGATGGGAATGAGATGATGATACGAAACGATGCGTTTTGTTATTACTCGTCCACGTGGCAACTCTGTGGAGCCGACGCTGGGTTTCGGCTTGAAGAGCCGTTTTTCTGTCTCAATGACTAAATTACACACTCCTCCAGCTCACTAACACCTGATTAATTTGCCTCTCCTTTTTTCTTTGTAATCCTCTCTATCTAAGTTTGTTTTTTTTTTCTTTTCAATTTGAGTGTTAGTGAATTTAATTTTTCTTGGAAAAGAAATGGGTTCATTTTGATTTTTATTTTTTAGCAAAAGGATGTTTGATGAATATTTTGTGTAATATTAATGTTGTGAGAACATTTTTAAAAGGAACAAATTCCGTATCAACAAACAAAAAGAAAAGAATAAAACCAAATTGTTTGTTGACAATCGTCATGATATTAGCTTCCTTTTCATAGAATTATACAATTTGGTGATTCTCATATAATTTGCATGACAGTATATTGAATAATCCGCATGATTTGTTGTTATTCCAATATTCGTTTTAAATACATGTCGTTTGAGAGTTATTTTTGTATCTTGAATTTTATTATCTGATGACACTTCACAAATGGTATCAAGTTTATACTTTAGTGAAAACTAGTAAATTTCAGTTTTATGTAATTTTAATGTAATTAAAAGTATATTAGATATGGACAAATATTTTTGTTTAATTTTAAAATATACTGTATATTTTTCCTTTGTATATGTTCTTTTTTTCACTAGTTGAGAAACAAAATTGCACTTATTACCAACATTTAACATGCATTAATTTCTAAAAGTTCGAATAGGGAGATGGATAATTATCGCAGTCACACGTAATCCACGTTCTTGGGCTGGTTTGTTCACTAACTTCCTTTTCGGATTGATATTAATATGTCGTATTTGGCGTATGAGTTTGATGAGATGATGATTATGATGAGATTGATAGTGAAGGAGACAAACTTTTGATGAAATTAATTAATTATTAAAAAAATTTAGGTGTTGGAATATAACATGAGTCACATGGTGATGATGTCTTTGGATCTTTTATTTACAACTTTTACATTTTTGTTAATTTTTTCAATTGTTTTCTTTAATATATGTCAAAAGTGAAAGGTATAAACTGTAATAAGTTGATTGCTTTTGGCCAACACCTTACTTTGTTTACCACTGAGGCAAATGAAGACAGTTATTGATTCCCAAACATATTGGACCCTTAGATCTGATAATTTTGTGATAGATAAAATATCTCTTATTTAATAATACGTTTGTTTGTCATTACATATAACAGTTAATGGCAAATACGTGAAAACCCACTATGTGAAACGATTTGCTCAACATAGTTTAGTAAACGAAGAAAAGGTCCGCATCAAACTCGTTAAGATAATTTCACATCTTCTAAAAAATAGCGCTCGTCCACGGTAAAAATATTATTAGATAAGCAGTGTATACAAAATAATTGATAATATATGAAGAAGTACGAATTATTCACCATGTATCACTCATTCCATGGATAATTTGGTTTTTGAGAATGGAAAAAAACTGGGTCTAATTATTTTCCTTGACGGTAATATATATTCGACTATATATATAATCATATAGAGTAGAGGAAGTATGCAGGCATGTATTGGATATACTATTTGGTGAGACTTAAGATAGTTGAAGACAGATCATATATTGAATAAAAACATAGTGGGTGTGCAAGTGAGCTCACTATCATTATCTCAATACAAATATAGTAATAATTATTAAATGTTGGGTTAGTAGTTTTCTATTTTATCATGATTTTAAGGTTTGAATGTATTAAAGTTTGAATAATGATTTTAAGTGTATTAAAGGAGGAAAAATATCATGATTTTAAGGTTTGAATGTATGTAGAAATTACAACACATATTTAAGTCTTAAATTGTTAGCAGCCTATCGATTATATGTATTACGTTAGGTACGTACCTCCACAACTTCCTAATCTTTTATTTTGTGTTTCTTTTGGAAATTTCGGATTGTTATCGAAATGGGATTAGATATAAATTATATGATTTATTGTTCCAAACTGACATGTATTTTTTTTGTAAGCTATCGCAAATGATGTAATTTTTTTTTGTTCAACCCATTCTCTTATAAATATTACTCAAGCCTAATGAAGCCATTAAGGACCAATTCAAATGTATATGTAAAAATTGGTAAATGAATAACATAAAGAAATTATTTGAAAAAATCAATTTTTAATTTATGATTAAGTATTTATCTAATAACATATATATGAGTTTAGCTCAAAATTTTGAAATTATTTGCTATGATTGATTTCACAATCAATTCAAATACCGAAGCTAGTAAAAATTTATAATACTATCGAATATATAAATATATTTTAGTATACCGAATAAGTACTAGTTTTATATATACAGTTGTGAAATGTGGCAACACCAAATGTTCAAGAAAAAATGGCGACAGCAAATATTATCTAAATGACTATATAGAGTATTCTTATATTATAAATTTTCTATGCCTCTGGATCGTTTGGACGATACTATGACTGACAAATTACAAGAAGGTGAATTTGCTGTTTGGCATCTTATGGCATGCAAACCTAACTACGTACAGACAATTAATTAGTACAATTTGATATATTGGCTGCAACTATATTATGGCTCAATATTATTGGAAGGTACGACTATATCCATAATTATTTATTTATTTGCAACTGTTATGTAAATCTAATAATATCATCTACTTTTAAAAAAAAGTATCAGAACCCTATGTACGAAAGAGAGAGCGAATGATGTGTTATCATATGTATTAATTAGTGCGACTATGCGAGTCATCATCACTTTTACTTTTGTTAGAGTAATTAATCAGATTATTTTTGATTAGATACTCATGAGTCATGACTGATTAACACACGGTTATATCTATAAATGTCCAGGATCAGCTTAATTCCCGTGGATGAATGAACTAAGTTTTGTAAATAGAACACAAATGTATTATAATAAAGTCCAATTATTTCAATTGAAACAGGTCTTCTCTCGTGAATAATCTTGGTAATGGTGAGATCAATGTTTGGAGACACTATTGGGTCGACACGGTAGTTATTTAACTTCAAGCTGAATATTAATATCTAGCCACTGCTTAATTGTAAGATCTAACATTTGTTGTAAGAAAACATTATTGAAGACAATGGAGTTCTCAAGCCTCAAGGGAAAAGTCATTAGATATTTAATTAGTGTATATGATACCTTTCCTCTTTCGTCAATACTGTGCTCTAAAAAGAGAAAGATACAGGTTGACACAGTCCCTCTTAGATCTGGGCACATTATCCGAACCCGAACAAGTTATCCGAATCCAACCCAAAAAGGAAAAACTGAATCCGAACCGAAACTGATAAAATATCCGAACGATTTTTAAATTTCTAAATTTGAAAAACCGAAACCAAACCAAACCAAACCGAAAATCCGAATAGATATCCGAAATATTCAAAATACAATTATATACCCAAAATATTAACTACATTTAGATTTAATAACCTAAAATTACAATTATAAATCCAAAATATAAATTATTTTTATTCTGAAAATGATGAAAAAATTCAAAATAATTTAAATATACTAAAGTTTTTAGTTATATTTGTTAAATTTTGCCAAATTTTATTTGAATTTAACCAATTTTATTTTAATTTTATTATTTTTATTTAATTTTTATTATTTTTTGGATATCCGAATCCGAACCGAACCCGATCGAATATAACCGAACCCGAACCAAAATTCCAAAAATACCCGAATAGGTTTTAAATCTAAAAACCGAAAATCCGAAAACCCGAATTATCCAAACCGAACCCAAATGGATATCCGAACGCCCAGACCTAATCCCTCTCATCTCACTAATTTATGTAAGCTCATTTTCTTTCTTTTCGGTTTGAGATCATTTTATTTTTCTCTTACACTTTTACAGTTTATATTATAAATATTAAAAAAAGGTTTCATAATTGTGTTTTCAGAATTATATTTTATTTCTATTTTTTTCGTTTTTAAATCTTATATGGACTAAAAATAATATGTTGAGCCTTAAACTCATAAAATCATATCTTTGGAGCCTTGTACGAAAAGGAGAGGCCATTTGTGAATATATCTGTAATTAGTTTAGATTAAATTAGGTCACATAGTCGGGTTCCGGTGCTATATAAACGTGTTTATAAGTATTTAATAATTTAAAAAAAATTTACGTAACACAAACACATTCTGACCGACCTTCAAACACATTTCTACCTTTCATCATTTAAGGTTTTTCTTAATTATATCTACTAGGGTTGAGTCCGCGCTTCGCGCGGATTTTATTTTATATTTTTATGTGTTTTATATTTTTATATGTTTTTTTTTAAAAAATAATCTGTTGGATAAATTTTTTATAGTTTAATAGTTTTTTTTCTATATTTGCATTGTACAATCCTTATTAGTGTTTGTATATAATAACAAATTTTCTTAATTATGTTATTAATTTCTGTTAATTTTTTTTATTTCATGTACTTTTATATATTGTCTGTCACTATTGTGTGATTTTTATTACAGTATTAAAATTTTTTTTTTTTGTTAATGCTCTACACGTTGCACAGTAATAATTTTTAATCATTTATTCTTACTTTTTTTGAAATTTAAACATCATATTTATCCATTTTTGTTAATTTTTTTCGTTTTCTTCATTTTCATATTTTCATATTTTGATATCTTTATCTTCTGTTCTCTTTCTTTGTTTTCATATTTTTTCAAAATTCTTTTTCATCAGCTTTGTGTTCTTTTTTTTTATTATCCATATTCCTCTTCATGGTCTTTAATTTCTATTTGTTTTCATCTTTTTAATATCTTCTGTTTTTGTATTTTGATTTTTCTTCTTCCTTCTATTTTTCTTATTATTTTTCATTATTTTTGCTTTTTTTAATTATCATCATTTTAAAACATTTTTTCAATTTAATAATTTATTATTTTTAAGAATATATATATATTTAATCCAGTTAGTATTACAATGTTTTTAATTATTAATATCTAATTATCACTTATTTTTTATTTATACTATAATTTTTTTAATTTAATTTAATTTATACTAAATATATTAATAACAAACATTAATATATTTATTAGATGCATACTTTAAATATACTTAAATGTTAAGCTTTATGAGTTTGCTGATGTGGATAGTCTAGATGGAGAGAAAACTCTCTCATTATATAATAGATTTCGTATA